AATATTTCAATTAAATTTTAAAAAATACGCATGAAATTGTTCAATTACGGCGCCGCTGGAGGGCCAGGTAAAAAAATATTTTTATTTGTTCGGACAAATTAGAAATTCGTTCGGACGAATTAGATATTCGTTCCGACAAATTAGAAATTTGTTCGGACGAATTAGTTATTTGTTCGGACGAATTAGATATTCGTTCGGACAAATTAGAAATTCGTTCGGACGAATTAGAAATTTGTTCGGACAAATAAATTATTTGTTCGGACAAATTAGAAATTTGTTCGGACAAATTAGAAATTCGTTCGGACGAATTAGATATTCGTTCGGACGAATTAGATATTCGTTCGGACGAATTAGATATTCGTTCGGACGAATTAGATATTCGTTCGGACAAATTAGTTATTCGTTCGGACAAATAAGTTATTTGTTCGGACAAATTAGATATTTGTTCGGACAAATTAGATATTCGTTCAGACGAATTAGTTATTTGTTCGGACGAATTAGAAATTCGTTCAGACAAATTAGAAATTCGTACGGACGAATTAGAAATTTGTTCGGACAAATAAATTATTTGTTCGGACAAATTAGAAATTTGTTCGGACGAATTAGAAATTCGTTCGGACGAATTAGATATTCGTTCGGACGAATTAGATATTCGTTCGGACGAATTAGATATTCGTTCGGACAAATCAGTTATTCGTTCGGACAAATAAGTTATTTGTTCGGACAAATTAGATATTTGTTCGGACAAATTAGATATTCGTTCGGACGAATTAGTTATTTGTTCGGACAAATTAGAAATTCGTTCGGACAAATTAGACAAATTAGATATTTGTACGGACGAATTAGAAATTCGTTCGGACGAATTAGTTATTTGTTCGGACAAATTAGAGAAAATGTGAACAACTGTCAGGACACCGCGATTAATGTACGATTTGCAACAAGACGTTTCATTTTATTTTGATTCTTTGCAAAATAACTTTAATGAACAACATTATCAATAAATATTCTTAAAAAATAAGTCATTTTAATGTTGATCTTTTTCTTATAATTTTTATGTACATATTCACTACCCTGCATTTATCAATCATGACATGATTTTCGAAATACATTTCTGATACATATGTCGCCGATATGTGGCTGAAATATTGCCGATTCGGCGTAAAACATTTAATCAATCAATCTGGTATATATGCGGTGTATAAAATGAAAAAAGGTCCTCATTGAGTTTTTAATTAAATATTCCTGTTTGTGAATTAAGAAAACTTCACAAAAATGAACCTGTTCGTATTGATCTCAGGTTGTTCCTATGACTCGCGAGCCGGTGAATTAAGATGTCAACCGGTCAGTCTGGTATATTCCCTAGTCCATTTATTTACAGAGCATAATTATAGCCCCGTCCCCTTATTGGAGAGGTACATGTAGTCGAACAAACTATTTCATTTCACTTTCAGCATTTCTTAATTTTGTTTATACGCTTTTACAGTTGAGTACCAGCTCGAAGGTTTGATAGGCCAATGACTCACTAGAAAGGAGAATTATGAAACCAAACCCTTTTATGGGGAAAATAAATCATGAATGAATGAATGTCAAAATATTTTCAATTAAGTAACAACCCCCCCCCCCCTTCCTCTATTTAAAAACGATCGATTGTCTTAATAATTGAGAAGCTTAACTTGCATTAGATTGTGTTTTTAAATTTAACTGCACTTTCTAGGAACGTACATGTATTCATCTATTTTTTATCCTTTTCCCGAAAAGGGGCGTGTTGTTTAATTTGGTCAATATTATACCTGCATGTTTTAATTCATGCGCTTTTCTGATATTTAAATATAAAATAAAATTTATATAGATACTTAATAAACGTTTTTAACGATTTTAGAAAAAATCCATTGGAGATGGACTAAGATTCCCTCTTTTTGTTCCTTTATCACAAAATACTTAAATGTGGGAACAGCGGTATAGAAGCAAAACTACAAATGTCCTAGCTAGTAAGCCCCACCTTTTTAAAATTAAGACCCATCGAATAAGAGGCTCGATATTTTGAGTCCGAAGTTTATTTAATATAATATAATACAGCCACGTAGCATCGTTTTTGAAAGTGTGGGGGGGGGGAGCCTGAGAGAAAAAATACTTACCTGAAAAGTTGACAAGCAAATAAAAAGGGGGGGGGGGGCACAGGAAAAGTTGCCCAAAGTTGACAGTCCTATTTCGTGGGGCGGGGGCTATTACTTCAAAGCCAATTTTTTCCCGTACCAATTGCCTGCAGTTTGAATAAAACCTTAAGGAGTGGATCTCATCTTTTCAAAGAAGTGGTAACTGACCACTGGCACCCCAGTGTTACCAATTTAACACCACCAGCAAAATATTGGTCTGGTAGAACCAGATGATGTTTATTTATGATCGACAAATGTTATGAATGTGTCAGGGATGGGAGTGAAAAGATGTTTGATAAGAAGTAACCAGTGACCCCCCCCCCCTAAAATTGTCAAAATTAACGTAACTCACAGTTTCGTCTAGAAAATGTAAATATGTATACTTGGTAGACCTCATTTTTACTCTACAAAATTTCTAGAATCTAGGAGCTTCGCCCCCTGGACCCCCACCAGGGCTTTGCCCTGGACCCACTGGGGGCCTCAAGGCGGCCCCCAGACCCCTTGCCTACTTTTGGCGTCCCTCTAACTTCAATTCCTGGATCCGCGCCTGGTAACTGACCCTTTGAATTTACTAGTGGGCTCTCAGATATAAGTATACTTTCAGAATGGCAGACTTTAGGCCTATAATATATACCGGAATAGAACCATTATTTCCGAATATTTACAATCAACATACCCGACTTTAATAGCACATGTCTAGTTGCAACGTGTGTATGTCATGGTCCAAAGAGCTATTTATGTATTAAAAGGGGATGAATCCTCCTGAATCGACAAATTGTATATCTCTCTTTACAAGATAATTTGTGCAAACATCTAATTTGTCCGAACAAATATCTAATCCGTCCGAACAAATAACTAACTTGCCCGAACGAATTTCTTATTCGTCAAAACAAATAACTAATTCGTCCGAACGAATATTTTATTCGTCCGAACAAATAACCAATTCGTCCGAACGAATTTCTAATTTGTCCGAACAAATTTCTAATTCGTCCGAACAAATAACTAATTCGTCCGAACGAATTTCTAATTTGTCCGAACAAATAACTTATTTGTCCGAACGAATTTCTAATTTGTCCGAACGAATATCTAATTCGTCCGAACGAATTTATAATTTGCCCGAACGAATATCTAATTCGTCCGAACGAATTTTTAATTTGTCTGAACGAATATCTAATTCGTCCGAACAAATAACTAATTCGTCCGAACGAATTTCTAATTTGTCCGAACAAATAAAAATATTTTTTTACTTGGCCCTCCAGCGGCGCCGTATTTAATAATTATTATGATTGAAAAGGTAATTTCTATATACTTATAACATTTATTGTAAACAAAGAATCGGTTGGTTCTTGGGACCAGACCTCCATAATTATAAGATTACATTGTAAGACATGCATGTAACTGAAATTGCTCTCACATTTGATCCTGTAATTATCTTAAAACTGAATTATTATAATTAATAATAATAATTTAACTTCATAAGGTAATTAAATCTTAACTGTAGGAGGAGTAGCATTTTGAATGATTTTCTAAATTTTATCTATTTTTAGTAACAACGGCAACACCGTTCATCGAAATCACAAACTGATATACAGAATTATGTATCTTATTGTAGTCTACTTGTGAGCCAAGTTATATTGAAATCAGACAAAATCATATCTATATATGCCGCGATTGTTAAATCTATACAAATAATTTTAGTGAATCAATATGCATCTATTAGATATTTTTGTAATCAAGGGACCCGTTTTACAAAGGAACTTTCACCTACGACCAACATTTAATTTTGTGATTTTATTCTTCTTGAAAAGAATTAAGAATGTTTCTATGGTTACAATTTCCAAAACAGTTAATTTCAAAAAATTACAATCAACATAAGTTTTTGGTTTTAGTTCTTTTGTTCCAGAGGTTCGAGCAACAATTATAGGTAGATTAAAAAAAACTGGATAAACTTCTTTATGTTTTAAAAAATAAAAAACTGTCAATGATAACACAACAGTAATTTTAAGAGGTACACCTAAAAACTAAAAAAAAAAGGCGAGGGAAGGGGGGAGGGCCAAATTATAATGCAGACTTTTTTCATTGACGTTGTAAATTTCTAATACAAACACTGACAAATTTATGCAGAAACAGTTTTCGCATTGAACAATAATGCTACTTCACTTCCCGCCATTTTTTTCACCTGTTACTCCAGGTAAACTGAGGAGTATACTCGCGTAACACGGGTTGATCACCCGTGTCGAAGATAGGTTGTTTTATTTACAACTCTAGTGACTCGTGTAACCCGTGTTGCTTAATCGAATATACCCTTAGAGTAAGAGTAAAAGTGGAGCAGAAAATTGCTCCGATGTCGACATATACCAGGTGAATTTTGCTCTTGGAACTGTGAATATACGTCGAGATAAGCGGGGTAGTCGACATTACCGAGGTCGACATATCAGAGATTTATAGAGTAAAAAAATGCCGGGACCACGGAGGGACGTCGACATATCCCAGGTTGTCGACATATCCGATGTCCAGATACCGAAGTTTGTATATTTCATGTGATATTTTTTGCGAACACTCCTTTTTCACAAAATATGGTTGGTTCTTCATGTTTTTATTTATATAATATACTAGTACCCATATCTGTTCCTGTTTAATTGTCTAAATTTTACCGAAGCACGATTTTTCTATTTGAAAAATGATCTATTTTTGGTAACATAGATACTTCATCTAATATAAATGGTTTCAATTTTTTCTTAGACATATGGGATATACGCTATGCATTTTTACTAAATAATTACTCAAATACTGGTTATACATTAATCAATATGAAACAAGCATGCACCAGTTCCATCATTTTTGTAGGTAATGCCAATCCTAGTTCTGCCGTAGAATCATGGGACGCCGAGAAGAGTGATTATACATACAGTAACCTTTCATGCGCTGATGTGTGCGGCCATTATACCCAGGTATACAAGAAATAGGCAAAGAAGGTTTTACATTTTGAATTAAAACAATTATCAACCAATTTCGTATAAAAATGAATATACTTCAGCTTGGTCTTCAATCCACTGTTGTTTGATTTAATATAAAACCAGGGGGTGACTTCCCAAGTCAACTTCTATACGAATAACTCTTATCATAATTATAAGAGAGGATATTGTTTCCTGGGTAATGGGGGTTCAATATGCCTATTTCAAGTTGTTAATTTACAAAGAAATTTAAAGGGGGTAACAAGTTTGGATTATAATCCTTTTTATAAATTACAGGTTGCTTGGGCAAGTTCGGAGTATGTTGGATGTGCATCCAGTACCTGTTCTTCCTTCTCAGGATTACCAAGTTCTTTCAACGGAGGAACGATTGTTATCTGCAACTATGGACCAGGGTATAATTCTCTCTCTCTCTCCCTCCCTCCCTCTTTTTCTCTCTCCCTCGGTAAAGTTAAAATATTTATTAACATGCTATATGTATTACATGTATGTATGTAAATTTTGATTCAAGTACCTTTTTCTTGCAGAGGCAATTACAATGGTCAGAAGCCCTACAAGTCCGGGGCTCCCTGCAGTTCTTGTCCCAGCGGTTACTCTTGTTCAAACAACCTTTGTACTGATGGAAGCGGTGATAGCGGTTCAGGGTCTTCATCTGGGTCAAGTGGGTCTTCATCTGGATCTGACTCTTCATCCGGATCTAACTCTTCATCCAGTACCGGAAACAGTGATTCCAAATCAACAAATACCGGAAGCGGGCAAACTGAAAGTATAGTGTTTAATCCTTTTTCTTATACTTTGCTTTCAAACATTTTTCATGGAAACGCCATTCTTTTGCAGAAACTTTTTTCACTTGTATTATCTTTAACTTTCCTAAAGGTTGGATAAAATGATATATATAACATAGATAAAGAAAAAAACCATTAATTTGATGCTTTTCAGATGAGGATTGTTATACGGGTGATGGATCTAACTACCAGGGTACAGCCAGTACAACTGTGAGCGGGAAAACTTGTCTGCTCTGGTCCAGTGTCCTCTCCTTCCTGCCAAACAACAACTATTGCAGAAATTACTTCGCTGCCTACGGGTTCACCGAACCTGTTTGTTACATGAAGCCCGGAACTTACTATGTTGAATCTTGCGTAGTCCCCAAATGCAGTAGGAATATTTAAAAGAAAGATTAAGATGAAACTTTAAAAAATCTTATAAAATTGTACCTTAAAATCAAATATAACAGCTTTTGAATGTAAAGAAAATCTGTGAATTTTATGAAAAATTGTTACTTGAGAATTTTAGACTCATGGATATATTAATATAAATGATATTTTGTTACATGTTTATGCCCCTCCCTGAATAAGACTGCTTTCTGCTGGAAATCTCTGTAATTATATATACATGTAATTTATCGTGTTCTTTTGGCGTTCTTTTGCTGATACTCTTATAACAACCATACATACTTTTACCCTTCTTTAAGATGCAGAAAAATCTCATGTTACGTTGGATTAGATAATTATGTTTTTTACATTCTTGTTTGAAATTAACATGAATTATATGATCACACATTCATGATATGATTGTATCTGTTTTGTCTTTCTATTTTAGGCAAGAAATGAAGAATTTGCCTGTTATGATCTGATGGCAAAAAATGGACTGCACCTCAAAAATGGAATAGAAAACTTGCAAATTAGTATAATTAAATTTCCTGTGATTGTACTTTATTCCTGACTTTTATACGATTTTTATACATGCATTGTACATGTCTTTTAATTTCCTATTTCTGTTTTCTTTGAATAAATAGTATAATTAAACAGGAAATAAACTTTTTTACTTTTTTAAACCTGATGTTTGCATACCATTTGTGGACTCTTAGAACGTAAACATACATGTTTAGCTTTTATCAACAAGAAGTGCACATGTTGTTCATAATGAGTGCTTCTGATAGCATAAAGTCTATTCTAGATATAAGTGTGTAATAATCAAGGGATTTTATCAAACCAAGTGTCTTTTAAGCATTGAGTATTCCACTGTTTATTTAGTTTTGTAACATATGAAAAAAAAAATTACAAAATGAAAATTCGACAATGGGAATCAAAAGCACTGGTGGGCCTACTATCATTTATACATGTAGATCACGGGGGAGAACAGAACTGTTTGAAGCAAGTAAAGATTTTTTTAATAATCTTATCAGTTCTTTTGCTAAAATTCTTTCCTTTATAAAAATATATACTGTCCAAGAACAAAAGGCATATCTAGAGTTTCTGAAACATAGATAGGTTTACAACCTGTTCATACCGCACATCTTAATGTATCATATTAAGCTTTCTGTTTTCAAAAGCACTTATTTTTAACAAAAGCAATGTAAAGAAGTAAACAAGAAAATAAAGTTTTTTTTTTCGTAAAAACTGCATATAGTATTACACAGTTGAAGGTATTGCCCTTAAGTATTGAAAATTATAATTTTAAAATAAATTATTTTCTTTGTGAAATATTTTCATGAAAAATATCACAAAGTAATAATGTCTGAAAAAAGGATCAAACGACCCAGGGGCCACATCGCTCACCTGAGGAAATGGCTAGGTAAAAGATAATATCAGTTTAGTATGAAAAAGTTTAAATGTAAAAGTGAGTTCGGTGAGGGGGGTTTGAACAAACTTAAATCTACACTTCCTAAGGATGCTTTTGCATTTATAAGACATATAATGGCTTTGCTGTTTATAGGATAAAAATCTTTATTGATATAGCCTTTATTTTCCTTTATTATGATCCCTGATCATGCCCTCATCCTACCCCCGAGGGTCATGGTTTTAACAAACATAAATCTAAGCTACCAGAGGATGCTTCTACGTGAGTTTCACCTTTCCTGGGCCAGTGGTTCTTGACAAGATTTTTAAAATATGTATCAATCTTTCACTAATTCATAATTATCTCCCCTTTGAAGAGGGCGTGACCCTTCATTTGAACCAACTTGAATTCCGTTCACCCAAGGATACATTGTGGCAAGTTTGGTTGTGATTAGCTCAGAGATTCTTGAGAAGAAGATAAAAATGTAAAAGCTTACAACGACAACGACGACAGACAACGGACACATTTCGATCAGAAAAGCTCACTTGAGCCTTTGGCTCAGGTGAGCTAAAATGATTAAAATTAGGTACCTACATATAGCATCGCAATCTAGAACATAAACATGGGTTATCTACCTACAGTACTAGATGCACTTACCCAACCAATACCCTAAGCGTGATCAGCTCTCTCTTTTCAATTTCCTTCTTTAACTCAATACAGTTGATGCTGTGAAATAATTTGGCGTGGTGGGGTTTATTAACGTTGTCTTCTAAGTCTGCAGAATGTCTGGGAAATTAAAAAAACCGCTCGGCTATCTAGGCAAGTCAAAAAAACTTGCTTTCGATGAAATTCTCACAGCGCCGCTGTAAAGACGAATAATGACCCCCATCGAATAATGACCGGCGGTCATTTTTCGACAGCAAAAAATGACCCCCGGTCATTATTCGACGTCGAAAAATGACCCTTTTGCCCGTAGAAAAAGTGTCACCACCCTAAAAATTTGCAGAACCTACGTGAAGAAAAATGACCCCCGTAGAAAAATGACTCCCTTTGGATTAAAGCTGAATTTTTTAGGGGGCAAAAAAAAATTAGATAAAGAAGCATATTGGCCAAAATGCTCACTTGAGCTAATTGGGAATAAATTGATGATATGTTGATCTCATAACATTATACAGTTATAGCTATATTTTAAGGTCAATGCGATGATTCAGAATCTAAAGGAGTAAAAGATTTATCGAGCCTAAAGGGTTAGGTAAACATCGTTTTTCGATGGTGGAAATCATTGTACTGACAGAAAAAATCAGCAGTATTATATATTATTATATCCTCCGCTTGAAAAGCGGGAGGGTATATAGTGATCTGGATGTCCTTCTGTTACGCTTTGGGGTATCCATCTCTTATCCGCAACTCCTCTTATATATAAAAAGATGTGTTTGTGAAACAGCTATGCCCCTGTATGGCAACATAGCGACGATTAAACTGTTCTTAAATGCAATTTAAATATATTGGATCCCAAAGTAGGGTCTTCTCACAAGAAATACAGTTGCAAAAATAGGAAAGCCCTAGCACCACTTGTTCAAAAGTAATGGCCAAGGATAAGTTTTTGAAAGGTAGGTCAAACTCAAAGGTCAAAGGGTAAAAATTTGATGGTTTCTTAAGAAAGGTTTAAAGTAACAAGGATTACATATGTGAAGTATGAAAACCCTAGCCCTTACCGTTCAAAAGTTATGGCCAAGGTTAAAAAAGTTTTTTACATAAGTACGGAAATCTCCAAGGTCAAGGTCAAAAGGTAAAAGTTTTTAGTATCCAATGAAAGGTCATGCCAAAAAAATACATATGTATGAAAGTACTAGTATCTACCGTTTAAAAGTTATGGCCAAAGTAAAAATTTGCCATTTTTGTATAAAATGGGACAAACTCCAAGGTAAAGGTCAAAAGGTCAAATTTGGTGGTACCCAAAGTAGATCTTGTCACAAGGAATACACATATAAAATATGAAAGTCATAGCTCCAATAAATGAAAAGTTATGGTCAAGGTTAAAGTTTTTGCGGACAAACAGACCGCCAGATAGATAGACAGACAGACATACAGACGGACACGATAAAATTATATACCCCCCGAATCTTCAATTACGCGTACGGGAACATAAGAAGAAATAATCTTCGATGAACTTTTCATATTATGATACAGTATAAAAAAACGTTACAAAAATGAAAATGCTTGTTCTGATTTTCATATTAAATTCTCTGCTACAAATTTCTACTTTTTCCCAATTTTTTTTTTCTAAAACAACGTATCAATGGAGTCAGTAAAGAAAAAAAATTATATTCATAAATTTCATCTCCAGTGTGCGTTTGATCCATTTACATGTACCATCTTTGATTTTCTAGGTTTGCTCCTTTATCAGAGAAATGATTAATTAATTGATTGTTAATTGCTTAAAATTGAATTGTCAATATTTCGACAGAGAGAAATGAGGAACTTTATTATCCCTACGTGTTAAGAAGAACAAATATCAAATCTATTCGAACAAATGCATGAATTATTCGAAGGAAGAACAATTATAATACACAGCATATTTTTCCCTTTCACCTGTTATAAATTTTGTATCACTTTAAAGGGGGACATTTTTCAATGGGGGTCAATATTTTATAGGACTAATATATAAAATAATGACCCCTAGGACTCTTTTTCTACAAAAAATGATTTTTTTTCTACGGGTAGGGGGTCATTTTTTGTCGTTGAAAAATGATCCCCGGTCATTTATCGATGGGGGTCATTATTCGTCTTTACACCGCCCTACACTACACGGTCATTGAGAATAGAAATAAGATACAGTTATTTGAACATTAGTTTTATTAGAGGATCGTTACCAATACACATTGTAATGAAATTTAATTTCATTTATAAATCTCAATTTACAACAACTCTTTAAACTAATATAACCGCCCTAAGGAAATAAATATTAATATAGAAAGCACAAAGAAATTCACTTTTAATGATACCCACTTCTGCCCCAGCCCGGGTAGAACTATAAATATATGTCAAAAACTCCCTAACGCAGATTTCTAGTACTTTTCAGGCAATAAGTTAGTGTCTGATTTTTCTTTCTCACTTTTTGGCTTACATGTATATTTATGTTTTCATCTTAATAAATGAGGGTTGTGTTATATTTTCTGTGAGTATTCCGGGCTATTTTAATTGATTTTGAATAAATATTTCCAGTCCTTGCATTTTTAAAAGTTTACATGTAGGTGTCTTTACTACGAGCAAATATATATATACATGTATATGTACACTGTACATTTTACAAGCAGGGATATCATACATAAGGATAATTATTCGGACGGAAGACCTCTCTTTGATCGCAACGAGTTTCTATTTTTTTTTTTTTTACGTTTTCCTTGAATATTGTCAACAAATATGTTGGAATTTTCAGAAAAAATTTCCCATCTACCTACCTCCGTACACAATTTTTGTACTCTGAGTCGGGATAAAGCAAACAAACATTTTTTTTAAACGATGGCCTAGCTGTTTTTTATTGTTATGAACATTCAGACAAGATGTTTCCTACTTCAAAGATATTTTTTTCATATTCAGCAAAAATTAAATTATGATAACAAAGGTGTGATCTACAAAGGTTACGTAGCTCATTTCACATAGATACATCTGTGTAGATAAATCAACCAGTTGTATTTTTGCTTACTGATAATAAAAGTACGACATTAACACAACACTCTACCTTAATACGTTGCCATGTTCTTGAAGTCATTTTTAAGCCTATTTGTGGTAAGTTCTTGAATGCTTTCATGCACCCATCTCGCCAGACTCTATTAAATGAAATTATTAATGAAACATTTCTTTGGTAAACATTAAAAAAAGCGATAAAAGTTTTTCAGAAAAAAGCAGAAAATAGAAAATTCTGTTAGGATTTGAAAAAAGGAAGTTGAATTCAAAAGTGTAAAAACAAAAACCGTAGGTAAAATAAGGAGCCAAATAAAAACGGTAGTGAACACGAAAAAAGATCAAACATACTTATTATCGTAAAAGTAAAATACACTGTACTCTAATTTCTGATTAGGAATTTTTGTAACCATCTCGCTAAATCGGCACTTCTCGGGCCTTTCCGACGCGCGGAAAAACAACCTCGAATGTGTTACTTTCATGACAACCCCCTTTTCATTCACTTTGAAATAAATGTAGTGGGTTTGCAATTGGAGCTCAACTTTATTGAATATAATCTTAAATTTAAGATATTACCTAAAATATATTGACTTTTAAGTCTATCTTTCAAATACTTTTATAAGTAGGAAGCTATCCCATCTTGTATATTTTTAACATTCGGTGATGTTGATACATTCGAAGTTGTTTTTCCGACCTCTGACGGAAAAGCACGAGATAATGCGATTGTACCCTGCTGTAGTATTAATTAGTAATATCATCTAATTAATTCGTTCGAAAGACTCCATGGAGTTAAGATCGATAAAGAACCACATGTATACTGTGCTGATAAATTTTCGCTAATCTATTAATATTGTCATAGGTTCCTCTTAATTTTAGGTTTTTCTGGTAGTAACTGCCATATTAGCAAAGAATGAACGGAGGAGAACAGGTAAAATTAAGAATGAGTTATCTAATTTAAAAAAATAACAACTTGTAATTCAAATGAACATTTATAAATCCATTTTTTTAAAAATTATCTCAACAGTTTTTCTGTTCTTGATGTTGAATAAGAAAAGATTTATTGACAGAACACACAAATTCTTATCTCAAATGTAACGTTGTCTTTCACTAATTAATAATTATCAACTATCAATGAGTACATCACTTATTGACACATTAATCACTAATTATCCCCATGACAACATTTACTTGCACCAGGGAGACCACAGGCACTTGGGGGCTGGACCCCCCCCCCCTCTTTCCATTTTTTTTTTCCTATTGAAATCTTGGGTCGACGCACCTTTTCCTATTTTGGTAATCTAAAAAGCCTTATTTGATATCGATAATGTAACCCTTTTGTCTCTGTAAGCCGCTTCTAAGTATATCGTTTTCGACTGATACATGAAAAGAGGGCTCTCTTTATATGTATCAGTCGAAAATTATATACTAGTACATGTATTTAAAAAACATCTTATAAATAAAGACAAACAGGTTACATTATCGATACAAAGTATTGCATATTAGACTACCAAAATAAGGGAAAGATGCATCGACCCCAGATTTTAAATGAAGAAAAAATGGAAGGGGAAAGGGATGATTCAGCCCCCAGTGCCTGTGCAGGGAGACGTGAATACTGCGTACGGAATCGAAGATTTTAATTCACAGGAAACTTATGTATATGGCACGCCAAATTCACAAAAAATGAGCTAAACATAGTTTCACAGTTGATCAGCTAGGTTTATCGACTGTAAACTATAGTTTACAAACCGTGAACTACTACTATAGTTAACAATTCGTTAACTATAGTTTTTATCTGTAAAACTATATTTAACGGTTGTTAACTATAGTTTACGAATGCTAGTCTAAGTTTATCTGTCTGTCATGAAATCTTAGCAATAGATAGAAACATTGATTCACGTCTGTAAACTATAATTTACAGTCGTGAACTATAGTTAAGAGTTGTTAAACATAGTTTCACAAATAGTGAAAATATATTTATCAGATCATTCACTAAAGTTAAGAGTTGTAAAACATAGTTTACAAATCGCTAAACTGTATTCATCAGATAATCTATGTTTTGCAATCGCAAATGATTGTTTTCAATGTTAAGTATAGTTTACGGTTCTGAAACATAGATTAACACGTTAACTATGGTTTACAAATGTAAAATATAGATTAATGTTGTTGTTAACTATAGTTTACAGTCCGTAAACTATAGTTAACAACCGATAAACCTAGTTTATCGACTGTGAAACTATATTTAGCTAATTTTTGTGAATTTGGCGTGCCATGTAATTATGTATTAGGCCAGAAAGTCTGGTTCCCATCCCTGCCACTGCGTTTTTCACTTCGTTTTAGGGTCCCCAAAACGAAGTGAAAAACGCAGTGGCGGGGTTCCCCGAAACAAAATGAAAAACTCAGTGGCGGTGTCCCCAAAACGAAGTTAAAAACGCAGTGGCGGGGCGTGAACCAGACTACAGGCAAAAACGTCACGATATTGTAAATGTAGATCCAGGTGGACAGGGCCGGGCTGTCGGAATACGTTAACCAAGGGTTGTTCTACTATTATTTTGAAGCGATCTGGTTAAAAAATTTTCTTTATTATTTACAATGGAAGTTTTACATAGAAAGAAATCATATTTTCATTTGCTGCATGTTTTCTAAATTCATTTTTCTTCCTTAGGAGGTTAAGAGTACCTATAATATTAAATGTGAAATTTCATTTAATTCAGCACTACATATAACAATCAGGCAAAGCAGTCTAAACAAAAAGGCAAATTAAAATTTAAACAAATCAATGAAGTTTGACTAGAAGTCTGTATGTATTTGGTTTAATCCGAGATATTTGTTTATTCGGCCAAACAAACTTCTAAACATCGCAATCTATTTTAAGAAAATTGAGGACAAAATTTAACTAGAAATATTTAACACGGTTTTGACAACATGAGAGATCAGAGAAAATTATAAACTTTATCACTGATATGTCAACGTGACCCGACGAGTTCATAAATATATGCTTATCCTTTATAAACATTTGCCAAAGCTTTGAAATATAATAAAAAATTAACCAGTCTAAAAGAAAATAGTTTATATATCAGACGTTTTCAAAACAAAATTTTGACGTCATTGTTTCATCCTCAGAACGAAAAGACAATATACATCTGATATATAAGGCTTGAGATTTTTGAAGGAATTTATTCACTCGTTTGGTTTCTGAGGATTGTTAACAGAATGCGGGGTCTTCTGGTACTCGTATTATGCTTGTCTTTGGCAGATATTCTGCTGGCAAGAAAATTTCAGCTTCCTGCTGAATGGGATGAAAAACGAGAGCTTGACGAACTTGCAGAAGACCTGCGTAGTCTCGAGGTAAATTTTGAAAAAATGCAAATTAACATCTGAACTTTCAGCGGAAATACATTGACTTAAAATGCATACTTTTATTAATTAAGGCAAAATTAATTTTCTTGTTAATTTATATATGGATAAACTAATTTACGTTTACACAATCCTGACAAATTGTCCAGAGTATCAGTATTCCTCGGGTGAAATGGATAATGCTGTTAAATTTTGAGAATTTCAAAATTAGCAAACGTGCTTTTGTGACCATATTTGAGCACATTTTTAAAGTTATAACAGTAAATTGTCTATGACGCTGACATGTGCAAGACAAGTACCTTCACAAAACTATCACTTTATCAATCGTTCCTTAAGAAATGAAGAAAGGTACCCTACAGTGTACTTCCTGACATTCACATAAATTCTATCTATAGATCATTCCAAGAAATAATCATTATTTACATGCAATTACATTGCGTCAGTTATAAATACTTTAGTCCATTCTTTGACAAAAAAATGATTGTAACATACTACACTACAGTAGGTCTTGCTGACAGATTTAAAGAAAAGGTGTTTCAACCTGTTTGTAATTACGAACTTACAAAAATTTGATCTATTAACTGCAGATGTAACTGATTTCTTTGTAAGATATCCAATCCCAGAGGACAAGTAAGAATCGCCAGAAGTGCTCGCCAGAAGCGACAGAGCAGCTCAGATGAACAAGAATTCCTTGACGCTCACAACGATGCCAGATCTATAGTCAGCCCTACAGCATCAAATATGAGAAAGATGGTAAATAATTAGATATGTAGAATAATTATTTATTTAAGATTTTGAAAAGGGACAAACCTTTTTAGGGTTTTCTTTTAATTGAAAATCAGTGAATTTTGATAGAGTTTTACTTATTTGATAACTATAAAGTTAGATCTTAAACCTCACACATAAGCGCAATGTTACTGAATTATTTTCATCTCATCATGATAAAAAATAATCCGAGATTCCTCTGACTCTAACCCCTGCTTTTAGTATTGTGATATGTGCAAAGGAGATCACAATACAAGAAGCAGGGGTTAGAATCACAGGAATCTCGGATTAAATAAAAAACAACAACCCATGAATTACCCTGTCTTAAAGAAATGGAGTGATGAGTTAGCCCAGGTCGCCCAGAACTACGCCAACAAATGCATATGGGGTCATAATTCAGCAAGAACTTCTGACACGAAGGCTCTGACGTCACAGTTCAGCTATGTCGGCGAGAATCTCTACGTCACTTCCAGAAGTGAGTACAATTATACAAACCTATTCCATTCTTCTGTGCCTAGGGAAACACATAAATTGTAGCTGTGAATATTAAATTCATTACTACAGTTGAGGAACAACAAATATGACATTATCAAACCCTTTTATCTACAATTAACACTGACAAAAATTATTTTAACTTTGTATTTGATATGTTTTTGCAAACACGCCTTTTTCAGAAAATACTAGGGTCGGTTCTTCATGTTTTTTTTTTGTTTTTTTTTGAAAATTCATATAACATACACATATCTGTACCTGTTTAATCGTATGAATTATATCGAAGGAAGATTTTTCTTTTTGAACAGTGGGTTTTTTTGTAGCATCGATACAGTTATACTTTATGTGTTAATTGTATAAAACTTTTTTTCCTAAACATGGGACACACGTTATACATTTTACTAAATAATTACATAAATACTCGCTACATTGATATGATACTATATGTAGTACATGTACCATTTATTTTATGTAGGCAGTGTAAATCCTAGTTCAGCCGTAGAATCATGGGACTCCGAGAAGAGTGACTATACATACAGTAACCAAGCATGCACTGGAGTATGCGGCCATTACACTCAGGTATGCAACGAACATTTTAAATTTTAAATTGAAAACAATTATAAATCAATGCGGTAAAAAAAATGAATATTATTTGATTTTACAAATAGAATCATTCCCATTTCCCTCAGTTTAGTTCTCATAGATATAAAGCAGGGGGAAGATTCCCAAGTCAATTTTCTCCAGAAGCATAACTCTTCTCGTCATTATTACGGGATATTGTTTCCAGAGTTAGGGGTTAAATCTTTATTTTTGTTACTATTACAAAGAAATTTTAGGGGGGTAACAAGTTTTGATTATAGTCCTTGTTTATAATTACAGGTTGCTTGGGCAAATTCGGAGTATGTTGGATGTGCCACCAGTACCTGCCCTTCCTTCTCAGGATTATCCAGCTCCTTCAACGGAGGAACAATTGTTGTCTGCAACTATGGACCAGGGTATGTTACTCTCTCTCTCTCTCTCTCTCTCCAGCTAAAATATGTATTTGAATTATATATGTATTATGTATGCAAATTGTTGATTAAAAGTACCTTTGTCTTGTAGAGGCAATTACAATGGCCAGAAGCCCTACAAGTCCGGAACTCCATGCAGTTCTTGTCCCAGCGGTTACTCTTGTTCGAACAACCTTTGTACTGATGGAAGTGGTGATAGCGGGTCAGGGTCTTCATCTGGGTCAAGTGGGTCTTCATCCGAATCTGACTCATCATCCGGTACCGGAAACAGTGATTCCACTTCAACAAATACCGGAAGCGGGCAAACTGAAAGTATATAGTGTTTAAACCTTCTTCTTAGCCTTCGAAACTTTTTTATGGAAACATCATTCTTTAGCAGAACCTCTTTTGACTTGGTTATCTATCATACGCTAAAAGTTGAATGAAAATATAACATTAAAATAGAAAAAAAAATTAATTTGATGATTTGCAGATGAGGATTGTTATATCAGTGATGGATCTAACTACCAGGGTACAGCCAGTACAACTGTGAGCGGAAAAACTTGTCTGGTCTGGTCTAGTGTCTTTTCCTCCCTGCCAAACAACAACTATTGCAGAAATTACTTCGCTGCCTACGGGTTCACCGAACCTGTTTGCTACATGAGACCTGGAACTTATTACGTTGAATCTTGTGGAGTTCCCAAATGCAGTTAGAATTTTTTTTTATTATGTTGAAACTTTTCAAAAATTTTATTTAATTGTATCTTAAAATGAAATGTAACACGAATGCTAATTGCATCCTTTTGAATTTAAAAACAATCAATTATATCTATGAAAAATAGGCACGCGGGAATCTTAGACTAATGGATATATTAATGATGTTTTTCTACATTTTCATGCCCCTCTCTGCATAAGAGTAAGATCTCCTTTCACCTTTTATTATAATTTTTCATGTTTTTTTAAGCGATTTTTTCAGACATACTGAATATAATCATACACACTTTTTCCATTCTTTTGGATGCAGAAATATCTCATGTTGTTTTAGATTTTTAGATTTATATATCTTTTAGATTCTTGTTTGAAAATTAAATGAATAATATATTACCTTGAATCTGTTTTGCCTTTCTATTTCAGGCAAGAAATGAACAATTTACTTGTTATAATCTGAAGACAACAAATGGACTGCCCCTCGAAAATTGAAAAGAAAACTGACAAATGAATATAATTAAATTTCTTGTGATTGTACTTTTTTTTTACTTCTATATAATATTTATATATGCAATAAACATGTATTCTACTTTCTTATTTCTGTTTTCTTGGAATAAAAAGTATGATTAACAGCAAATAAAGTATTTTTTTCTTTCTTGAACTTGCATGTTTGCATACCATTTGTGGACTCTTAAAGTGTTAGCATACATGTTTAGCTTTTATCAACAAAGAGTACATATGTTGTTCATAATGAGTTCTTCTTAGAACATATTGAAGGTATATTTAAGATACAAAAGTATCATAACTAAGGGATGATTGTAAACCAAGTGTTTTTTAAACATTGAGTATTCCACTATTTACTTTAGTTTGTATTATTGGAAAATATTGAAAAAAGGGGGGAAAGCGCTGGTAAACCTTCTTATTTCTGTATCATTTCTAGCTGAAAGGTGGTGTGCGGCTGGAGAACACAACTGATAGTAGCAAGTGGATTTATTCTTATAAACCTTCCAATTCTTATGCTGCTGAAAATCTTTCTTTATTTAAATATTTTGTTCCAAAACAAAAATTGATGGAATATTCAGAGTTTCTGAAACATCACTAGGTTTTACAACACTTTGATACCAAACAACTTATTAATGTACCTAAAGCTTTTTGTTTTCAAAAGCACCAATTTTTGAGCATATGAGCAATTAACAAGAATTATACAAATTCAAAGGAAATGTTTTTCATAAAAACTGCACATAGTATGAAAAAGTAGAAAGTACTTTTATTTATTATTGCAAATTGAACTTTTTTTTAAAATACTTTATTTTATTTGTGCAATATTTTCAATAAATGTTTCTCAAATCAATTATTTCTGGGGAAAAAACTTAAGAACAAACAATAAAACAGGAAATGAAATAATATAAGGTACCTACATATAACATGGCAATTCTATTGGCATCTTGAACATAAATTTATGTACATGTTTTGCTCTGGGGAAAATAAGTATCAGATCAATAAGTAAAATTGGAGTTGCCAATGGCAATATGAAACAAAAAATCTGCAAAGTATCATTTCATTTAATTCAGTAAAATATAGGAGGAGTTGCAGATAAGAGATGGGTACCCCTCAATATCATTATGTGCAAAGATTCTGTGAAAGTCATTCAGTGGTATAAAGGAGTTGCGGATATGAGATGGTTACCTTAGAAGCGTACTGGGCGGACGGACACCCCATCACTATATACCCCAACTGTGCATTTCAAGTGTGGTTAAAAACTAAGTTTGGCATATTCGATTTTACTTTGGCAATGATAATTAAGTTGATAGAACGTAAATTCAAAAGAAACATTTTCAATCTCCTGCTATTAAAATGTAAAAAAAAAAATGTGTCATTGAAAATATTTAACTTTCAAATTGCTTAAAAATGATATCTTTATAATAATGAAATATGGAATTCCAAGTTACAAATCATAATGTTCAGATATGAGCTTTGTGTGTCCTTTTCTGTTTTGTTTTTAAAGCAGCTGAACACATTTAAAAAAACGATCCTAGCAGGTGCATAATGAAACTCCGTATTTTCAGAGTTCATATTTGCGTTGTTCAATTAAAATGATATTTTGAATAAAATTCAATTTCCACAGTATCTGTATCTTATTAATTACAAATATCGATAACAAATATTTTTTCTAAGGTTTAAGTGAGGAACATGTTTTTTTCTGTTTTGACACGATTGGCAAATAAATTATGACATCATCGCAAAATGTCAATGGGGGAGCGAATTATATAAATCATACCTTAAATGCTATATGCATTACTTTATTTTCTGTACTATTCCGGTTAAAATGAAGCTCGTCATACATTTGACCATTATCTTAACGGTCCTCATGATTGATGAGGTTTATTCCAAGACTTTCTTTCATAAGGAGAAACCATATGCAATTAAAATCAAGGGCCGAAAGCAAGTAGATGTTCGAGATACAGACATACTGCCAGGCTTAAATCTAGAGGTAATGACTTTTCTTTATTTTGGATTATTCTTCAATTTCAATTCACTAATTCTTTTATAAGAAGAAATTTCCTTAAATTTGTTCTGGTTAGCTCTCGAGCATTCAAGCAAAGTTAATTTAAAATTTCAAATACAAAGACTTTGCAGTGGATTTGCATCGTTTAAGTGAGTATACAACAGTATTCAAATGGGTAAAAATGAAGAAAAAAGAGACTCATTAATAATGAAATGAAATTACTGAGGACATACAGTACATACATGTACATAAAGTAATTAAGATTTTTATTCTGACTTAGACAGGCTTTCTTTTTAGATTTCCAATCCCCAGGGCAAAGTAAAGGCCGCGAAGAAGGTCCTTCGTAAAAGACGACAAACGTCAGAGCAACAAGAGTATCTAGATGCCCATAACACAGCCAGATCAATTGTCAGCCCAACTGCAGCTAACATGAAGAAACTGGTAAATTTGTCTTGGTTGAGTCCAAGGGAGAAGATATGGTTGAGAAGTGTTTTTGACGTCATGATGGGTCAACAATTGTTATAAAAATATGTGAAAATATTAAGTTTTTAAAATTTTATCATTTAACTTCAAAGTAATATTAAGTACATATCATGATTTTACAGAAATGGAGCAATGAATTAGCCCAGGTTGCTCAAAATTATGCCCAAAAGTGTATCTGGGCACACAACTCTAAAAGAACCGAGGAGACAAAAGCTCTAACGTCTAAATTCAGCTATGTTGGCGAAAACCTATTTGCAACGTCATCACGTAAGCTTACTAAAAAAATACTTACTGAAATGTTGCAAGGATCATCTGTTTTATTCAATGAGTGTAATTCATTAACCTGGCAGTTGAGCAACTTGACACTTGAGGAAATGCATATAAGAGCTGCATTTTCAATAAATGTTAACCATTTTATACCGAGGTAGATTCTCAAAAAAAAAAAAAAAGAGAACTTTAATTGTGATGTATATTACTCAAAATCTATTTTCATTAAGAATCTGTTGATCCAAGTTCTTCTGTGGAATCTTGGGACCACGAAAAGACAGTGTACAACTACGATACAATGGAGTGCTCTGGTGTTTGTGGGCATTATACTCAGGTGAAACAAAAGAATCTATTTTCTATCTGCCTCATTACTTAAATGATGAAACGTATTAACTCCTAATACTTTCACCTGAGGTTAAACCTTACTAGTTATCATTTTTAAGGTGGCCTGGGCGCATACTGAGTATGTTGGATGTGCTTCTGCAAAATGCGAAACTTTCACTGGGCTATCTTCGAGCTTCAGTGGTGGGAATATCGTGGTTTGCAATTACGGAGAAGGGTAAGTATAAATACCCCAACCCTGAGGCCTTCAGAAATTTCGAGCAGTGGGCACGGGCATAACATAAAATCAGAATTTAAGAACGACAGACTTCTTTTGTAAGGGACAAATCCAAATGTTCCTATGCAAGTCATTATGCTATTATTATTATACAAATAATATCTCTATAACATCTGTAACTTTTTATAAAAAATAATTTAATAATAAAATTACTGCTTAGTGATATAGCAATTTTGAATGGTAATATTTACGATGTCATGACTTCAGACATATTTACTTAGTCAAAGGAGATTAATCTTTCTCTATACATGCTATATTTTGTAAATCATTTTAAATTGATATGGATATATACTTTTCTGAATCAGTGGGAATTACAATGGCCAAAAACCATACGAGTCTGGGCCTCCATGCAGTTCCTGTCCTAGTGGTTCCACGTGTTCAGACAATCTCTGCGTTGGAGGTGACGGGTCTGATACCGGAAGTAGCGGTTCTACAGCAACAAACAGCACTGTCATGATTCCAGGTAAACCTCATCTAAGTTTGTTAATCTGTAAAAAGTATAAGTCTTCCTTGGCATGTTAATTTTAATGCTTTCCCAACCAATTCAAGAAATTGTAATTACACATATTTTAATGGAGAATGGTCCGTCTAATATTAGTAGATAGGATCTGTCCGTCACTTTCAATTGACTTTCTGATACATGTCTTAGATTCCTTCCCAAAAAACTGACACCTACATGTGTATTTACAATTTTAATGAAATTTTGAGCTGATAAAGCTAAAACACTATCCCAAGAAAAAATAAGTGGGGGGGGGGGGGATAAGCGACGACTGATGAGTTAAACCTGCCTAATTGGTTTTAAAAAGATGTTTTGTCGATCATTTCAGACGAGGGCTGCTTTCAGGCGGATGGCTCAAACTACCATGGGACGGTTAGCGTCACAGTCTCTGGGAAGCAGTGTCTGATGTGGTCCAAATTCTACGATTTCCTTCCCGGCAATAACTACTGCAGGAATTACTTCGCACCCTACGGCGTAGATGAGCCAGTTTGTTATATTCAGGAGAATGCTCACTATGTGGAATCTTGCGGAGTTTCTAAGTGTGGTGAGAATTAATCTGATTTATTCCTCAGATCAATTCTTTTACAGCTATTGATTTATTTTTTCTGTATCGAAATAAACTTGTCAAGAAAAAAGAAAATATACTTTAATAATTATACAAACTTAACAAAAAAGAAGGCATATTTTTAAATCTTTACTTACTGTTGATTATCTTTATATGCAACTAATCTTCAGAGCTGCATAAAAGACAAAAACGTTGAAATAAAGATATGGCAAAAGCAAAATTTTTATATTCTTATAATCATATAAAATTGATGTCGCAAAAAAATAGTACATATAGAAAGGTTGGTTCATAGCTTTTTTTGTAGATATAAGGCAATATTTTTTTTATTGAATGATATTGTCCTTTTGTTATTGGCATGCATAAGACTGTAAGCACATTTTGCAGTAACCACGGCGCGTACATGTGTATTTGTATTTTGGCAGGTTCTGTGTAATAAAGTGCAATCCTACACTACCAGATCCCTGGGAAAAGAATCACAGATTTTCTTTTGAAGAAAAAAATTCTATAAAATAAAATTTCAATAAATATGAGCATTTTATTTCAACTTGTGTTCCTTTTAGTATTTAAAAAACTTAATATAATTATATGGTTGCAGGTTTTATTATAAACGAGCACGAAAAAGAGTTTCTAGCTAAAATCATTATAAACATACATGTAAATAGTGTACATGTACTAAGTTTTATCCTTAGCCACTGGTCTCTAAAACGTCAAGTGCTCTGAGTCCTTGAACAATAAACCCCTGAAAAACTTCATGTTTATTTTTCGGGCTTGCTTCTCTCAATGTGATGCCCCCAATCAAAATAACAGCTCTAAAGTCACTGTAAGCAGACAGATATAAAAGTAAAATGAATGGAAGTAAAGGTGTATAGGGGGCACTAACAGAGGACAGCTTCAAGCAACGAAGCATTTATCATAATAAAAAGACTATGCTTCTTTCTCTCTCATACGTTTTACAAAAAATTAAAATGTTTATCATACCAGTTAGGTAAATACATAAGAATGCTTTGAGTATAGCATGCAGAACTGCATTGAAAATGCAGTCTCTGGTTACCGACAAAAGCAAAGATAAAGAGACTGCCGCCACTTTTTAGGTTAGGGTTAGGGTTAGGGTTAGGCGCTCACTTCGGGTGTTATTTCTTGTAAATTAATTATGCTTTTCCCCACTTTTGGAATGGTAGCCGATAATTTATCAAATATTTTACTCCTATTTTATGTCAAGTGTTTGTTCCTTGAAATATATTTTTAAGCATGATCTCCAACTTGGACGTCGGAATGGATTTTTTTAAAACGACATTCCAAAGCTATAAAGGGCTATTTGGGACCTTTCAAAAGGCTAAAAAGTATAACAAGAATAGGAGAAAAATATATTCTTAATCATTGGATATCAATCTTAAAGCGGGGGAAAAGCTAAAAATACAAGGAATAATATACTAAAAGTGAGCGACAAAAAACCGGCGGCGTTAATCGAAGGTTTTTACAACGCTTGGATCTGTAGCTCTCTGTTCTATCTGTCCGAATTTTCTTAAGCTTTTACAGTATATATACAGATCTGCAGCTACATGTAGAACAGGTTAATGTGATTTGTTGAGAGATAAGCAATCAAGATTTGTATTTTCTCCAAAAGATGTCGCTGCTGTCAGTCCATAAAACCGTAAAATATTGAATGAAGTTCGTCAGGGGTCTACCCTATGGCAGGAAAAAAATGAATCCAAAATTAATTACATAATTTTTAACGTGTAATACATGTAGTAATTTCAACTTTATATGAGACCAAGACAAAAAAAAATAAATATTTTACGATTTTTTCTAAGTTAAGCAAAATTATAGTTACTTCACACTGCATGTTAAAAATAAATATATTTTTTAAGGTACCGTATTCACTCGCCTATAAGTCGAACCGCCTATAAGTCAATTGTATTTTTTAAGCTTATGTTGAAAGATTGACCTTCTAAAATACCAGTCTTTTTATATCTCGCCCATAAGTCAGACATGGAGTTTTGGACCAACTCCCAAAAAGCCGACTTATAGGCGTGTATATACGGTACACATTTTTGTGACATTCTTATAATTTTCTCAAACTCCATAAAACACATTTCATAAGTGTTTTGAGCTTCCTAAAATGAAGAGATGCAATCCAAATATTTTTCATTTTATTGCATGGAAATTCATAATTCACATTAATTTTTCTCTAAAACTTGTATGTTTAATTATGAGACATACCATATGAAAAATTTTACGTAACAATGATCTACATTTTCAAAAATACAAGTACATGTAAATGTATTTTCAGGAACCTTTAATCACAAATCACTGAAAAACCATTGGTCATACTGTCTTTAGAACCGATCATCAGAAAAATACAATTCATTCATATACATTGTAAACATATATATTCAATACATGATGCAAAAGTGTTAAAGTCAAATCAATACAGTGTTGCAACATTAATTAGCTTGTGAACAGAACAATTCTTCCCTATGATCTTCAATGTCTCAAAATTTACAAAAAAATTGTGTTTAAAATCAGAAAATAAAAATAATTCACAGTGCAATATTTTAACCTGAGATGCCATGCACTCGCCTTAATACACAAAAACATATACAAAGTTATATGTACAATTGAAAATTTATAAAATACAAATAATTCCTTCATTCCATAAGATTACAATGCATTAAAAGAAGTCAGTGACGTCATTAACATCAAGATAATACACAGGACTTATTTTGGTCAGGGTTATTTCCCTCTGCTCTCTCAATGGCGAGGATGATCTGAGTGAAAACTTCTGTCACGGTCTGTAAAAAAAATCACTATAAGAAAGGAAAAAATGATGTTCGTGGAGCTGGGTGCTCCTGAGTACCTGAGTAATCTTGGCCCTATTGTTCTTATGAAGGTTTTAAAAAGATCTTCCCTCTTCCCTTAATTTTCATGAAAATTTTAACAGTGATCACTGCCAACATTTCATGTAGCACTGGTCTGTCAATAGGTGAATATTTTTTTTCAGTGATTTTAGCCAATCAGATTCCTGTTTTATAAATGAAATTTAGTAACTGAATATTAATACATTTACTTACATGGTGCTCTTTTGCACAAGTTTCCAGAAATGATACCTTCCAGCTATCTGCCAATCTCTTTCCCTCTTCAAAAGACACTTCTCTATAAAAGCAAAGAGAAATGAAATTACACTTGAACATGAAATTATGTATGGATTTTTTTCTTCAAATTGCTCAGTAAGTTACCTTTCTGTGGCTAAGTCACATTTGTTCCCTACCAATACTACAGGCACACCACTGGAACAGAAGAATAAGTGTTTTGAAGGAGGGGAACATGGTAAATGATTTGAGAGTTATGCATGTATTGTTTAATAGCTAGAGATTTTAAATTCTTCATATTATTTTGAAATTCTAAATGACTACATTATCTTCAGCTTATTTAAGTCTTTACTGATTATTGTTATAACCTGATATTGCCAGCCATGCAACGTTATTGCCAATAATTTTTAAAATATTTAAATATGTTATTTCAAAGGAATTCCTAGTATATAAAACAGTGAAACTACATGTATTTGTCATGAAATGGGTTGGATAGAAACAGTTCAAGACTTTGTTTGGTACATACTTGATGGTTCCTTTCATATCCAAGAGCTTGTCATAAACAAACTTTACCACTTCATAGCTAAAAAAAGTGAACAAATTAGATACAATCTGAAGTTACTGTATGTGGATTTAAATAGGAAGAATGCAAAACATGATTATTTAATAATAAACAGGTTTCATTTCAATATTCATGGACTGAAACTTTGTAAATACGGGTCTTTTTATATGAACAAGTATGAAAAAAGTCAAACATGATGTTATCAAGAGAAAGTTATAAACCAACAGACAACATAACTTCATAATTTTTTTACTGTTCATTTGCTAAATTAGCAACTTGTGGAGGACAAAATTATACTGAAATGCATGAAGTTTTTTTTCATTCCAGTTAATTTACTTTTTATACAGAGGTCAACAAAGAGTACATTTTAAAATTTTTATTTAAATTTTCCGTATTACAAACTTTTTGTATTTGCAACAAAAGTGATAAAGGGGGTCTGAGGTTATTTCTTGATTGATTTACTCTATGAAAAATTCATTAATGAAAATCTGAAGGGGTCGATCCTGGCCTCTATAACCCGGCCCCAACCCCCTATGACAAAGGAAAAAAAATTAAAATGATTTGTTACAGCAAGAATCAATCATTTCATCATCGTCGTCCTTTACACCCTACATCTTTCAAAATACTTTGTGTGTGATTAAATTGTTAAGGAGAATAATGCAACCTTGCACAATTTACAAATCACGAAAGTTCACAAGTTGACAAATCGTAAGTCTACGAATTACACGAGAGCATCGGCATCGGCAAAACTTGCATTTACATTTTTACACTTGTCAAATCACGCATGCATGGATAGTTACAACTAACAAATTGTGAAAAAACAATTTACAGATTATGAAATTAAGATTTACAATTTACAAATTCAGATTTACATGTATACATTTTAAGAATTACAGAGTTGGAATTTTGAACCCGTTGGCTTTCCATAATAAACAGCTAGGTTTCATTTCAATATTCATGGACTGAAACTTTGTAAATACGGGTCTTTTTATATGAACAAGTATGAAAAAAGTTTAACATGATGTTATCAAGAGAAAGTTATAAACCAACAGACAACATAACTTTATAATTTTTTTACTGTTCATTTGCTAAATTAGCAACTTGTGGAGGACAAAATTTTTTTTCATTCCAGTTAATTTACTTTTTATACAGAGGTCAACAAAGAGTACATTTTAAAATATGATGTTTCTTTCTTGCAACAAAAGTGATAAAGCTAATTCTGTCCCTACAATATGACAAAGGATTAAAATGATTTGACAGCAAGAACAATGATTTCATGATACATCTTTCAAAATACTTTGTGTGTGATAGGGAGAGTGAGAGTGTTTGCTTATGGGGAAGGGGGTGCTTACAAAAATTGACCATGCAATTTCAAAGATGTATTCACTATTCACAAAGTATGAAAATTTACCTTTTTCTAGAATTGACAGAATATACCAATACATATCCATCTATATTCACAAAATATGACTGTGGCAGAATGGAGTACTCATCCTACAAATAAACAGGGTTAAAAGAAAATGTTTACATCATGTTTTATGGGGACATTTGTACTTATTTTGAAAATAAAAAAAAGTTTTAAAAAAAAATACATGTACCAGTAAATAAAACAAAAACTCATGTTAATTTCTTTCAGAAAGTTGACTTACTTGGCCAGCTGTGTCAATCACTTGGAGTGAATATTCTTGTCCACGGATTTTGAGGGTCTTCTGAAAAGCTTTTAGGAGGAAAAAAGAAAAATTACAAAATCAGCATGATACAACTCAGTCTGTTTAAAATCAAATCTTCATGTAGCTCTTTTTTTTAATTATTGCATGTAGAATCTTCATTTGACAAAAGGAAAAGGAGCCTAACTTTACATCCAACAAATTCAACATTTGTTCAAGATGAAAATTTGATGATACTGAACATGCTGAATGACAGAAATTTGAGAAAAAAATACATTTATTACATTTACAGTCATAAGGTCTAGCTCATCGAAAGTTTTCATTCACATTAAATTAATTATAACCCCCCTCCCCTGAAATTCTACAATAAAGGTATTGAAAAGCCCCCTTGTGAACTCTATTCTATGTCAAATTGCTCTTTCAGTCATTGATAAACATTTACAGTTTACCTTTTGGTCAAATGAGGTTATGTACACAACAGATATCTATCTGGTTGACCTTGTCCTAAAGGTATAGTTGACCTCATAAATGGATAAACGATATTACATTGTAAATTGGTCTTATTTTCCTGATGGATAAATAATGTTTAAATATTATCTATACTTTTTCACAACAGAAATTAAAGATGTACAAATTCATTGATCATGTTCTGCAAACACTTGTTGCAAAATTGATGATAAAAAAAAATGATATTAGCCATTATCAGCTGTGTCCTGGGCCATTTTCTTGACTTTATTGACATTTACTCTTGACTTTTTTTGACATTCATGAAACAACTCAACAACTCTGACTAAATATCATTCATTTGCTTTTCCATCTTTAACCTCCCTCCTCCTGACAAAATTTATTGACACAAAATTTTTACAGGTGCTAGAAGCATCATAATGGTGAAAATTATTACATTTTATTGATGTTATACTCATTTTTAGATCTACATCTATGTAAAATGAACCTTTTCTACACACAATTTACCTAGTTAATATAATATATCCCAATTATGTCATGTGTCTGGTACTTACTGTTTTCAATTGTTGGGTCATATGAATCAACAAAATGATTCTCAACAAACTGGATTGTGACCGAAGACTTTCCTGTATAAACAATAGCAAAATAATTAGTAAAAATTTGTTTTCCAGTCCTATGTAAAATATATCATCAAAATAAAAACTAGCATTTCTTGATGTCCATAATGTGACTAATGTCTCAGTATGAGAATTTTGTGTCTTCATCATTATGACTTTGGGTAAAGACCATATGCATGTGATTACAGAAACACAGAATCAAATACATGATGCTTCAATGGATTTACATGTGTAAATATAACATACTTCATTATCTCGAACTTGATAGGACAAAGATATCAATGGTAAAATACTTAAAGAAGAAGTGTTTGGGACTCCAAAAGCACATCGACTTATCCATGGTATTCAACAAATCTGAGTTCAAGATACTGTACCAAAGTTCAACTGTATTAATGTACTTCACAGAAAAAGTAGTTGGAACTTTAAAATAACTTGGACATATTCATTGTGTCAGTCTATCAGAGATATCCATGTTCGGGATACAGAAATTCAACTGTAATTCCTGTTCAAATCAGAATTTTTTTTCCTGTCAAATAATTTTATCCCAACATTGGGATATATTTCCATATTCAGATGACACTAGTATACATTTCTCCCAACAAACTCTTCATTAGATGGCCTTTTATCATAAAATAACTTGACTTATGTGTCAAATATACTGATGCAGTCAATTCTGTACCTAATTTGTGAAAGGCGATATAGCTAAATCACATACACATAGTAAACATGGTTAAGATTTTAAGAATCTATGAACAGCAGAAACTATACACTTGTGATTAAAGCAATGAACAAGATATCAACACATGTCAGAAGGCATCATTAATAATCAAGTTAACAGGGACACTTTTTGACTATCTGTATTCTTTCACACATGTATCCTATTATAATTTTTAAACAAATTGCTAATATCTCAAAATTGACATACCATTTTATCACTATTTTATTTTCATGTTTTTTTTTTTCAAAACGTACCAGGAAAAAGTCAATGTATTGCAATGCTGTTGTATCTAAGAAAATAATTTTTACTTTTACAGCTGTTCTATGCAATAATTGCAATTCTACATAGGCCTATCTTAGAAAACAAAATATTGTTTGAATATATAAAGGCAAAAGTTTTTTCCCTCCTCTTCTTTTTTGAAAATATTCATTTTTTTCCTGTTCATTTAAACCTGATGATTTATCTGTTCACGGTGGTGATCAGATACATATAAAACCGACCAGAGACTGTCAGACATATGTTTTTAACTTTTATAGTCTCTGATGGTGATGAAATCTATTTGTTTACAAACAATTTGACGACAATGACGTGCAGCCATGCTTGATCATGCTTCCTTCAGAATAATATAATAAACAGTTATTTAAAAACTTACCAACCGATCTGAAGCCCATCAGAGCAACTCTTCTCTGTTTAGCTGGCATCTTTATATAGCCAGAAGGATATGAAATAAATTAGAAAGGTAAAAACTTCTTATTTACGTTTTCGTTTCAAACCATAGTCGTGAGTTACGTCCCTTCTTTAACAAACCGGAAATGGTTGTCAACAGTAAATCTATCAATGAGTAATTCGTAGATTGATGTGATCTTTACGTTTTCGTTTACAAAACTCGATATTCTTTAAATTTTTAATGGATAATTAAATATAATATATAGATAGATATAATAGTGGATAAAAGCTAATTAAAAGATTTTTGTCACTGATTTTAGGAGTCAATGAATAATCTAATTATAGGCTTATACATTGACAAAAACTTTCAGTTTGAATTCAGGGAAGTTTTCTTGAAGGTCTGTCGATGCTAGATTAAAAAAAAAAAAAATAAAAGCACCGTCGATGTCCCCACTTTTTTTGTACGAAACAAACAGACGGTTTTCTCTCTTCCTTCGATATTTAATCTTATTTAATAGAAAAAGTGTGAAATGCAAACTTAAATCAGTATGTACAGAAAACAAAAGGACTCTTTAAAAAAAAATGTTAAAACGGTGAATAACAAATACAATTTCTCGTATAGGCTTCAATGAGAATGACCCATTCAATTTCCTTCCACCTTTGAACTGCTGAAATTCGGCCGAAATTATGAAATACATGCAACTCGGTGTCAGTGACCTTTGTACTCTATTCTCATTTATGCATTTAAAATTAATAACTGGCCGATGAAAAAGTGTTCAAATATAAAGATCTGTTTATGGGCAGATACAATTAATTATATCCCTTATATTTCTAAAAGTCGTTTTATGAGAGAGAGAGAGAGAGAGAGAGAGAGAGAGAGAGAGAGAGAGAGAGAGAGAGAGAGAGAGAGAGAGAGAGAGAGAGAGAACTTTGAAAGTCCAGGGAACCACAGGCACATGTTTCAGGAATAAATTATACAGAAAACTATAGGTCAAAAATTTATTACAGAAACAAGTCCTGCATGTCCTGTGTAGGGAACTTAGAAAAAAAATCACTGAATGACTATGTTTGGATAATAGTAATGTATATTTCTTGTAAATTCTCATTGTTTAGAAATAAATTTAAAATATAAGATTTTTAATGGCGGATGTCATCATACATGCACATGTACGAGGGTTGTCCCATAAAATCGTGGACAAAGCGCTTTTCTCAAAAAGTAATGGGCGCACTAAGCTGAAATTTTCAGAAAATGTTTATTCATCATATTTAAGTGTATCATAATGTTTTTGATTATATATATGCAAAAATAAAGATTTTATTCTGCTTGAATATGCACAGGGTATGGTCCTACGGCGCACGGTAAAAATAACAAGGTTTTATTAGAGAATATACAAGTATTATTTCGTAATAAATGTTTTCAATACATAAGACTAGGATAAAAATTGTCCTAATTAGATTCCTTAATCAATTCTGTCGTCTTTTTGAAAATTTCAAGGCATTTGGTTAATTTTTGGCATTTTTCCGAGCATTCGAAATGGGAAAGTGATAAATACAATACACGAAAAATATATTGATGACGTTACGGCGCACCGGAGAACAGTTAAGTTAGATTAGGATGTTGTAATGACACCTATATAGAGACTTTAAATAAATACAAAGAGGAAAGAAAATATGACAAATATCACCAGATCTTTAAAATATGAATTCTTTAAATGGAAGTTTGTCTTAACTTTTTTACTTTATTGAAAGCCCCAAGGTAGTACAAAACAAGTGGACAGACTGCCATTGTAATTGCAAAAGACGCTGTCACTGTTAACGACCGTCGATATGAGCTTCTCTGTTAGTTGAATGATGGTGGGAATACTGTTCGTAACTTGCTAATAATATCTTCATCTAATAATCGCATCGAGTGTGCCACATTGGTTCCTTCTGGATATAAACACTCACGTATGTAAATCATTAAAATTTCTAAATTTAAGTGGGAGAGAGAGAGAGAGAGAGAGAGAGAGAGAGAGAGAGAGGTTGAGAGAGCAACTTGACGTTATAATCCGTGCGCCGTAGGGCGATACAGTATATAACATAAAATATCAAAATTTGTTTATTTATGCATATATCTATTTGAAATTTGCTATATATATTCATATTATATGTACTAAAGAGTAGTGAAAACTTCAGAACGCAGTGATGATTATTTCTTCAAAATTCTAGACAACTTGTTAAAATATAAGATTTTTGACGGGACAACCCTGTACATGCATGTACTGACGCGTTTGAGGCAAAAATTATAGAGAATAAATATGTAATAGTAGCTATCTTCCTTCTCACACTTCACTAATCATGGCTTTAAGAACCGGGGGGGGGGGGGGCATGGCCGGGGGATGCCTCCCCGTTCCCAAAAATATACTCCCCCCTCCCACAAACTGAAACTGCTTCCTAGAGGACTGATGATACCATGATATTTGTGATTTGTAAGTCGCACCCTACCCCCCATCTTCATTTCCATGTTGATCAATCCGGAAATCTGTATTTTTTTTAAAAAGTGTTGTTCTTTATAGCACGTTTCTAATATGCTCAATATAAATGAAACTTCCAAACTTTTTTTTGGATTTATACATGTATATATGTGCTAAAACATCAAATTGATACAAATTCAAACAAAATATCATAATGCTATATAAACCATGGTTTTAATAGTGATGTTTAAAAGTGATGTTTAAAATCATTATCCGGTATATGGTGATGGGAGTGAGATCTGTCTTCCAAACACAGGCACTTGGTTCGGAAAAAATTAAAAAAAATAGATCTTTATTTCCGAAACTAGTGCCTGTGCCCCCGAATCGGGGCTCCGCTAGGATATGCCGTCATCAAGAACTCAATTAGTTTGAATTAATTGGGACACTTTTAAGACGTTTTAAATTTCACACTTTGTCATTTTAGACCATCTGAGAGCTCTAAAATATATAACTTGTAAAAGTTCACAGACATTTGTTACATTATACATGTACCGATTGCGGGGAACAGGAGCGACATACCATACAATGTAGGGCCATTTCGGTAAAATATACGTTAACATCAATACTGATAAATAGTATTAAATCCAGAAAATAAGGTCAAGGGTTAAAGGTACAATTTTCATGATATCCATGTTAGACCAGTATTAAACATGTTGAATTATATAGAGTTTTTATTCTATCAGTTTACAGGGCCCTACATGTATTAATTGTATATACTAGGCATACAATCACTGCTTACACACAGCCAGTGCAAGTTAATAACCCGTATTTCACTAACTGAAGTTCATTAATTTTTTTTATCATTTTAAACACACAAGGTTTGCCAAGTGTTTTTTTTTTTAAATTAAAAAAGAAAAAGAAACGAAAAATCGAGAAAACAGGGTTCTATATAAAATTCTGGTTATGTCACCCGTTTCTCCTATAGGTGATCGTAGAAAGACACACCCCCCCTTTCGCGCGAATTTACACCCCATGCAGGTCTCAGTTTAAACCAATTTCCTAAGTATGAAATTTTTATTTAAATGACAAGTAAAGAAAATATGGTCCTGCAAATCTTTCTTCTGGATTTACGAATCTTTATAGATCTATATAGAATTGATATCTTGAAATGACAGGTGTTTAAATTGCCTTTCATTCCACTTAATAAGTTATTGTTAAAAATCAACTTAGCGCGAAGACAACTATTGTTTTCTCATCTAGCGATAAGTATATATCTGACATTTAGAATTTAATTTTCTTCTGTTAGGAACTTTGTTGAACTAGTTTATAAATTGGATAGAAAATTAAACATGGATTCTTTGAAACTCACTATTTTTCTCATCGTTCTTTTTATTTCTGTTACTCAAGGTTTCGACAATTTAGGAGGTAAGTTTATTTTATTCTTTCTATATGACCACCTTTTTTGCCCTAATATTTTACAATAATTTTAATGATTTGTATGATCTACTGTTATCAAATGTTGGTAGCTTTCTTGAAGTTGTATTGGGGCTACAAAAGTAGAATTTCTGCAGGACATTTACAAAATTTGCGCAGTTCTTGAAAACATTACGTTTCCGAAAATTTCACTAGTTTCACTAATTTACTTTTATATGGAGAAAAATTATAGGAACAATTTTTGTTTGGCTCCACAAAATATTGCTTCCCTTTTCCCTTTATTTTACGCCTGCGCACAAAAGTTGAAGAAGTTTCACGGTGTCAATATAAAAACTTTAACCTAGTCACTAATCTGGAAAATGCAGGTCAGATCCAGCATCCAAAGCAAGTCTGGTAATGTCCATCCCTAGATACATCATTTGGTCCAGGTAGGGCTTATACATGTAGTTACTTGGGAATGGACCTGCTCCAAAAAATTTATAATAAAAACAAAAAAATTAAAACATTGGGTGAACGAGAATTTTCATTCAATCTTCAAAAAGATTATCAGAACTTATTCCTTTTGCTTGCTCCAATGCAATGTTATTTACAAGTTTCAAACTAAAAATTAAAGACGGATGGCCTTGACACTGGCGTTATATATACCATGCTATATATACAGATGTAACGAAGGAAAATGATCCCTTAAATATATATTGACCTGGGATAAGTTTTATACGTACACATTTAAACCTATGGCCAATATTCTAATGACCCATATATTCGTAGAAAATATGGCCTTGTGTCCTTTTTTCTCCATGTGGATTGTAGAAAAATAACCCCGTAAAATAATGACCCTGTACCTGTCATTTTTTGACAAAAAAAAATGCAGTGTTTGGTAGAAAAATTCTCAAAGTGCGTCAAGGAACTTTATTCGGTAATCGCCAATATTTGCCCCCCCAAATCAAACTTTGTTGGAGATACGAGGGACGTTCAATAAGTAATGTCATCGGGGCTCGGAAAGAAGCAAAAGACGCTTTTCAATGATTTAGTATTCATGATTTTACTTATTAATCGCTTTTGATTAGAACAGATGTCCGTAAAATATTTTATCTAATTTCTGATTGTATTTAGAACTCCTTTTTTGGGTGACCCTTAGTATACTGGAAAATGGCAGATCCAATGATTTCCTGGACTTGTTTCTTCTTTCTGAAAGGTGGTATTTCAAGTTTGGAAATAGAAACAAGTCAAAAGGTCAAAGATCTGGCGAATATTGTTAATGTGAAAAAATATTTACTTTCTTTTTATCCCGAAAACCCCTTTACTCTTTAGGGGCGCGGGTTTGGACGCTGTCATGAAGAAATTTATTGTAGTGGATTCCTGATTCTAGGTCCTTCCTCTAATAAACTTTTCGATTTTTTTTGTAAAAAAATTGCTTTCTAGACTCCTCCAGAAATTAAACTGTCTCCCCGAATACGAAATTGAACAACAGTACCACTAATATTTAAGAAAATTGCATATAAATCTGTCTTTGTGCTCTTGCATACCTTTGCTCTTCTCGTACCATTGCTGTTTTTATCAAGTACTCTTATGGTAAATTTTGTATTGAGTGTTTTAAGCAATAGATTCATGTTCCATTATCTATTTGAATATGAAACAAACAAGGATAAATACAATTATAGATATTTTCAAATAATTTTTAAGACATTCCTACACGCTGTCGTTTACACTCATTTTTCAAAATATAGGGTGATCTTTGAGTACAAAGCTTTTTTTCCGTCAAACGTTTCTTATAAACCTTGTAAAGTACTCCCGATATGATGTATATCAAATTTTCTATGTGTCTTAAAGTCAGTCGATCATACATCATCAGATATTATTTGTTGAAATTGAGCAAATAGTACATAAGGTGTAATATAATTTTTGTTGGCAAGGAAGGTACCCATTTTTGATGCCCATTATATATTTTTTTATAATTGAAATCCACATGCTTATTTGTCTATAAAACAGGCATTGGTTGATGTAAATGACACATATTTCAGTGAAAATTTCTTTGGGATTTTTAACACGCTTTACAGCAACTTGAATGAAGCTTTTATTTTCACTCCAGTTTACTGCTTCTTTACCATTCATTTATAATGCAGTGTCTCGAATAGCCCTTGTTTCCCAGCTTCTCACGATGAAACTATGTGATGAAAAGTGGTCACATAATCTGTTATCTATTCATTGAAGATTCAATAATGAGAAAAAGTCTAGCATAATGTCATATGATTTCTATGTTGTATGTCATCGAGCTAATGACATTATTTATTGAACGTCCCTCGTATATATAATTAAGTTCTTAAACAGGGGAATATAATTATGCTGATTTCAAAGCACTGAATATTTTCATAAGTAATGACGCCATATGTACGTAATGACGTCACAAACATGACGTAAATATCAATTTTTTATTAATTTTACAGATAAATGTACATATTTCGTCGATATTTTGAGTAAAAGTCACCGAGCGCATGTGTGTTCAGGATCAATATTTTGATACAATGTGGAGAATGATAATATCAATGAAATATGTCAATATTGTTCCTGAACAAACTTGCGCTCTATAAATTTTAAAGCTAAATTTGTTGAAATTTTGCCCATTTTGTCCTCTTTTTATAAAATCGGACTAGTTTGTGACGTCATAAAAACAAAAATTGTGAATACACTGCTTTCACACTGTAATATTTTCTGTTAATTTATATTTCTCATACAATTTATTGAATTCAGCACATTTCAGGAATTTTTCAAAATTTGACTTTTGTGGGGGCAAATATATGCAATATACCGCATATAGTTCTTTGGGACCATTCTGGCACTTTAAAACAAAAATATCTCTCTTGAATGTCGTTATTGTGCTTTGTACACTTGTAAAAGCTAACAAAAATAAATAAATAAAATGAAATAAGGTTAAAATGATGTTCTACTATTGGCCCTGTGAATTTCCTAGAAATCAGAACTACTTGATTTTAGTTGAAAAATATAAAGTGCCGTAATGACGTCATGAAAAATGGTCAATATTTTAAATTGTTTTTGAATATTTTGCACAGCCCCCAACCTTTGATCTAAAAATCTTTAATCATATTCTGTTAAGAACTTTCTAATAAGGTCTCTTCCCACATCAATTCTCTCCTCACCCTTTCACCTCTCTCCTCCCAATCTCACTCTCCACTCTCTCTCTCTCCCGGATCCCACTATCTCTCCACTCTCCTTTCTCAATTTCCCTCTCCACACTCTCTCCTCACTCTCTCTCTACTCTTCCTCTCCCCTCTCTCTCTACTCTCTCCCTCTTCACTCTTTCTCCTCCCTCTCCTCTCCACACTCTCTCTCTCTCTTTCTCCTCCCTCTCTACTCTCTCCGTTTCCTCTTCACTCGCTCTCCTCCCTCTCTCCACTCTCTCTCCACTCTCTCTCCTCCCTTTCTCTCCTCCCTTTCTCTCCTCCCTTTCTCTCCTCCCTCTCCTCTCTCTCCTCCCTCTCTCCATCCCACTCTCCACTTTCCCTCTACTCTCTCTCTCTCTCTACTCAGTCTCCCCACTCCTTTTCTCCCTCCCAACCCTATCTCTCCCGAGGTAGGGAGGTAGAAGAGGGTTGAGAGAGCGTGGGTAGAGTTGGGAGAGAGAATGGGGAGATAAAGAGAGTAACTCTCCCTCCCCATTCTTTCTCTCTCTCTTCCTCGCTACCACTTTCCCATAATACTTCTCTCTCCTTATTATCCCTTACCTCTCCGCTCTCTCCCCACTCATATACCTCTCTTTCTTTTTGTATTTTTTGCCTATCTAACTCAGTCATATTCACGACCTGTGAAATAAACTCTATGTATGCATTTTTCGTATTCATTTGAAAGTTATTTATCATAAAAATTATTGCAAAAATACTTATTCGTAAAAAAAGAGAAAATTCTTAGCGTTATCATAAACTTAATCATAAAATGTTTATTCTTGATTGTTTAATTTTAAATGAAATTTGACAGAATTGTTAATTTTGAAAATAATGAATGTTATTTACAAAGTTAAGGGCGATAACTTCAAACTACAGAAAACGTTTCTTCTCTGTTCACAGTTTTATCATTGTGTTCTATGTATGCGCATTTAATTTCATATGCTTATTTTGTATGCTAATTAACATGCCATGATATATGTCAGCTTGAAATCCCATTTGGGTATTATTTGTTGTGCCAAGTAAATGTTCGGCTAATGACCAAAATTATCTATATACAGAGAGGAGGTCTATAAATATTTCTTATTGGATCTATCTAGTATGTATACATGTAAGTGTTATCAGGGTTGACATTCACTGTCCCTCTCCCTTGTATGCTTTCAGTTTGCTTAAATTACATGTATATATATTTTTCACAATTTTTGTCCTGTTCAACATCGTATCGTTTTGATGAATGTCAGCTAAAATGTACTTGCATCATGACTCCCTCGTTGTTTTACGCATTGCCAAGTACTATAGTAATTCATTTTTTATTGTATATATATATATATTAAATGGTCGTTAACTTTGCTGTTTTATTCAAATACGTACTGTTAATAAAACTATATGTACGTGTAATCTTTACTTGTTGCATAGTTTTACTGTACTGCCATAACAGACTTCCACTTAATGTTTAAATGGACAGTGTTAATTTTAAATGATTAACCGCTAGGCCATCAGAGTAATTATGTTCCCCAAACGAAGTTGGGGAACATATTGTTTTTACTCTGTTTCTTATTATTATTATTATTATTATTATTATTATTTTTCTTCTTCCTGGGAAAATTTTGTCCACGAGTGATCTTGTAAACTACACATCCGACTTAGGTGAAACCTTTTTAGGGTTAGTAGGCATGTTATGTAGAGTTGCCAAACAAAGGTCATTTTGCGCGCACGTGCTTGCAAGAGCGCGCACGTGCAATAGGTGAAATTACCAATATAATGGATATTGCCGTAACTTTTCTATTTTTTGATGAAATTTTTTGAAACTCATAATGTAAGGATACATGAGTAGTATAAACAAGATAGCATGGTCAAAATAGCAAGATCTCACGAGCATGCACGTGCGCTTCGCTCTGATTGGCTGGAACTAAAGTCTCAATAACTTTCTTGTTTCTTGTCATAATCCTTTGAAATTTTGAACATAGTCCTACATTATGAAGATCTACCGCATGATATATAAAAATTTTCATGAAAGCATGCGCATGTGCGCGTGCTGCAAGCTGATTGGCTGAAACTTTAAATGGCAATATCTCCTTTGTTTTTTGACGAAATTCTTTGAAATTTAAAATAGAGTCATGCATTAGGATATCCTACAAAATGATATATTAAAAAAATCATGAAATCACGCGCATGCACGTGTGCTGCAATCTGATTGGCTGAAACTTTAAATGGCTATTTCTCCTTTGTTTTTTGACGAAATTCTTTGAAATTTAAAATATAGTCATGCATTAGGATATCCTACGAAATGATATAGAAAAAAAAATCATGAAATCACGCGCATGCACGTGTGCTGCAATATGATTGGCTGAAACTTTAAATTGCTATTTCTCCTTTGTTTTTTTTACGAAATTTTTTGAATTCAAATTTAAAATATAGTCATGCATTAGGATATCCTACAAAATGATAGAAAAAAAATCATTAAATTACGCGCATGCACGTGTGCTGCAATCTGATTAGCTGAAACTTTAAATGGCTATAACTCCCTTGTTTTTCAACCAAACAGGATGGGATTTAGAACATTGATAGATGTAAGGGACTCCTACAACAAGGTATGATCATCATGCACGTGCACACACGTGCGTGCATTTGAAACGAGTATATTTAAATTACTCTTGAATGAGTGATTTTTATTACTTTTGGACTGAATGCTTTAATATATAGTATATTAAAATATTAATAGTGTAGACAAGATGATATGGTCATAACGCACATGCATTCACATGCGCTTGGGTGCAATGCTAAAAAATTGAATATAATTGGTATCCTTCTGGGAAAGCGATGTAAAAGTCAAAAATGCACAGAGTTTGTCATATTTAATGAAGCTTACAGGGAACATGGCACCGAAAGGGAGTTGGGGAGCGTTTGGGGAACATCTGTAACGGTTCCCGTTACAATTAGCACTAGTTTGAGTAAATGTTCACCTTATTACAGGTCCGGACATTGCTTCTGGGAGAATTAAATCATTCAATTACATATACCCCTGGTACTAGTAAGCAAAAGAGTCATTCTATCAAAATACGAATAGAAAGGTTAAGACAAGCAAATTGCATTGGCCTTAAAAATTGTTATAAATTTGCTTCTGTTGCGCATACATCTCCTGCTTCATTGAAAATGTACATGTATGTAACATTGAAGATAGTTTGTTTATAAATCGTAAATCGCTTGGAATAATTTATTAAGCATGAATTCAATTCCCCAGTCTTAGAGAAGTCGTGCTATGAAAAGGATCGGGGGATGGGGATGGGGGAAGCAATGAATTTAAACATGTTAGAATTCGAAATTCTTTGAAGTGCATATTAAAAAAAATATCTGCAGATTTTATTTACACGACAAGACTAAAGTTAACCATACTGCAGTGGATGATTTGTTGGAGATAAGCTAATCTTAATTTTATACTTAACTGGTAGATCACCACCTTCCCAAGTCAAGAGTTTTTGATCCACACATAAATGTGGAGCGGAGCGGATCAGAAACTCTTGACTTCGGAAGATGGTAGATCACAGGGGAATCGGTTTCCTCTAAAATTGACGTGATCGCGCTTGAAACTAAGTTGTTTTATAAAATTCCAAAAAGTCAATAAAAAGGACTCAAAAATATATCATTGAAATTGTAGGACAAAGACGCAATTTTAAGATATCTTATTATTTAATCAATTAATTGAGTCCATATTGCAGCGATTCCGCGATGTTCATCAACCACCGTTGGCGTCAACCCAAACAGTTACAGTTCCTCAGACTTTACGTCCAGCTCAACGCACAGAGGTATGTTTATCCAACATTGCACACGCTAGCAAATACATGTACATGTATATCAGCGTATAATACGTGCATCATTGTCAACAACTACAACAACACAATCGCACAAATGAACAAATCTGCAACACAAAAAACATCAAAATTCATAATCCCCCACAAGATTCACTAGCAGCACAAACATCAATGATGTCATCATTACAATTGGGTTCAAACACAGATTTTTTGTATTTTGGTAACACACTATTTATTTACAATTATTCGATTTTACAACGTTGCAGACTACGTTCACTTAATTTAACAATAAAAACAGTTTAATTGAATAATTATATAATTTTTTTCGAATTATATTTTCCCCAGGATCTTTGTGGATGGTTGAGTCCAGTCATTTCATGTCTTCATGCTGTGGACACATCAGCAGCTGGACCTTTCGCCCAAAGACGACGGGTGACATCAAATTTGTTGTCTTTCACAGACTGCCTGACAACACTTTCATGATTTCGGGCGTTAGTGAGCACCATATTAAAGTTGCTGATGTCGGTAAGAGCTCCGAGTCAAATATTTGCATTGAAATGTAAAGGGTCCTTGGTTAACAGAAGTATCGTTAATATTTAGTACAGCGATGTTACAAATGTATTTTACATGCTTTTAAATAAACTTTTTTAGGAAATACCTTAACCCAATCATCGAATCCTACATTGCAGATTCAAAACGGCGATTTCATCGGATGGTACAAATATATTGTTTTGCATTTTCAGCGTTAGCAATATTATACTTAAAAATTGAATGAAAAAAATATTGAGACCTATAAGAGCCTTGACTTTGAGAATGAATTAATTTTTTTAAAAAATGTTTTATCAAGGTATTTCAGCGGTGATGCAGTTTTGGGGTATGGTGCAGACTCGAGCTACATCATGGCAAAGTATATGACTGGCATTGCACCAGAACTCATCAAGAAAGAAAAGATCATAAACTGGTCAAGTGCTTCTGGTGCCCAATACAACATCTTGTTTGGTGTAAGGGCCAATATTGTTACTGGTAAATTTCCTATTTCTTACTTCTTTCTTCAAATATCGTGTGTGTGGTTTATATATATATATGAGTACGTCCGGAAGACGAAACTTATGGGATACACTATGACATCTTATTACATGGCTCTATCTTTTTCACACAGTTCATAATTTTGCATTGCAGAGTTATCTTGATTTTTGTAAGTTTGCTTTACCGGAAATGTCTTTTTTTTAAAAAGAGTACTTATAGAGGTTAGAATCTAAAGTGACAAATTCTTGAACTTTGAAAATAAAATTTTGAAATGGACTTGAACCTTTTGATGGTAATTTGAATGTTAATGACTAAATTAACATATTAAGCTTCATTAATTTACATGTGTATTCAAATTGTGGCCAAGATCATAAAAAAGATTTTTCAGGAACCATACCTTTCTAGTAGAGAAGACAATTTCTATTAGAAAAGATTTAAAAGATATATAAACACCTGATGAAACTGTTAACGTCAGGCGTGCATGAATGTACACTTTGAATTTACTTGCAAACAAACAGAATGTCTTTGATTTTTTTTCTTTTCACTAGGTAGCACGCCAACCCTGACCTTTCCAACATCGGTCACTATAACAGACACCAATCCTACTGGAACCAAGGTCACGGATGTGACCTACTCTTACTTAGACCAAGCAACCTTGAACACTGATCTCTTTATCGAACAAAAGCTGTACTCCAGCAAGTACTTCGTTTTGGACTCCTCTACACGTAAGTACACAATCTACTGCAATTTCGAAACTATTGGACCAGTTTTCCTTAGAGTTCTTTCAGTCAGTCAATAAGAATTTTGTTTTGGTTATAAATGACATTTTTATTATTAAAAGAGTTAATTTCATTTAGATCAATCTACGCTGTTTTATTTTTTAGTCGAAGTTAAAACAGATTCGGCGTACATACCAGAGGGCTCGTACACTATGGAGTTCTACATCATGGATGCGTGCATGCGGCAGTCCTCAAGGACACTGACAATAACTGTAGCTAATGCAGTAAGATTTATACACAAGTATATAGTATACATTACCCAAATATTCTGGGTGTTTTGATGTTTCTACATGTACAATGTGTTCGTATAGACGAAGCAGTCTGAGGAAAACTGGGTTCTGTCAAGCCTGGGCCATGCCTGATCCTATAGGTTTTATTTTTACAGCCTCTTTCGATTACAAATCTTGGGGCTCAGTATAAGGACCTCTCGGAAGACACGGAGACCCAGCAGTCCCTGTACACCATACAGACTAGCGACTCCTCCACAAACGACCCCGTGTACTGCGACATAGCGAACCCCAGCGAAGGTCCCTTTCACTGCAGACAGACGTCCAGTGCTGTTAAAAGTAATTATTGCTAGTTGATTAGACCTCTGATAAACGAAATATTCCCATCTTTGCAATAAATATGTGTTAAATAAAAATATATAATATAACGCCATTTACGTTGATGTTCTCTCATTCTTTCCAGCAAACCTTTTGCAATTTGTTATTAATAGCTGTCTTATTTCAGTTATTTGTAAATACTTCAAGTATTAGAACTTTTACACAATAATATGATTCTATTTCAGCCTACGACATATTTGTGTATGATTGGCCACAGCTATCATATGACACAAAGAATACATACAACTTAAAAGTGGAGTGTTCGGACAACACAAACACAGCAACAGGAACTTACACTGTCAGCATCAAACGGAACGAACCCCCGCAGTTCCACAATAATTTCTGTACGATGTGTACTATGTAAACATAATACAACAGTCACTTTCTGAATGAAAGCTCAACAGAATTTACTAAAATACAAAATAAAATCAAAATAATCTAGCAATATATCTTTGTGTCCATTCTCTCAATTATGTATATCAGCACATTTTAAAGAACATGCAGATATAGATAAGTCAATAAAATGGTTTAATGTATTCAGGGCAAGTCACAGTAGATGCCGAACAAGCAAGTATTGGTGACGTCATCTTCACAGTATCCACGAGTGATCCTGAAAATGACGAACTTTGGTTGACTATGTCGTGTTCACCGTCAAACTGCCCGTTCCTTCTGCTAAACAGTAAGTTAATCAATATTTGTTGAATGGCAACAAATAACCTTAAAATTTACATCTGTCAAGTGAATGCATTATTTTATGAAGCACCTTTTCCGCTCATTTCCATCTGGTATTTATGAACTTATGAGTGAAATATAATAATTACACCTGAAGAGATATTTATGTATGTAAAGAAGGGAAAAGCTGGGCTGAATATAACTTTTAGAACTACAATGAAGCGCACTGAAGTGGTAAAATTTTCCTTTTGACTGGAACGTTTTGAGCTATCTTTAGAACGATGATTGTCATACAATGACACGCCTATTTCTTCAGAAAGGAGAAATCGGTCAAATGGTTCATTCGAATACCTGTAGAACAGGTATTCTATAAATATAACAGCCAATCAAATTGACGGTCTACTTACACAGCGAGTAAGCACATGTTCGACCAATACTTGTGTTATGGTAACTTCAATAAACATGATAAATTCATAATTTATACAAATTCGTTGTAATTACGTGTTTTACAGAAGCTGGGACTCTCTAACTCACTTTTATAACTTTAAAAAATCTCTATTTCAGTGAAACTCATGTTGCTTGTCGCGAAGAGTGGGGTGTCCTAAAACATTACGACGAATGTTTCTTTTTTCGTTTCTGAAGAAATGGGCGTGTCATAATGTTATAATTGACGTTCAAAACATGATCAGAACGTTTCATCTTCAATGCGCTTCATTGTACAATGTAATATGAACTCAGTACTCACTTCCTACAAAAAGGGATCTTGTATGCCATTCTAATTTTTAAAAAGTGATTTGCGGCAAGTAAATATTATGATCAAATTGATATTTATATGTAGTGTACAAAGAAATTAATCTCTGGATCTATTGATCTCTTTTTTGTAGATAATAAATCTTGCTCTGAACACGTTCATTGTATTTTCAGATGGCCAGTTAGTAGTAAATGCAAATTTACTGCACAATTCCCATAGTGCATACTCTCTGGCGTTGACTTTACAGGACTCTTCTGGTCACAACACAGTTACGGGACAGTCTATTGCTGTCACCATTGTTAGTAAGTCAATATTTAGTTACGGACCATTTTGGAACCCTCCTTACATAGCGATTGATTACTATATTCATTTGTTAATCTAAATTGTCAAATCTTGGACTACTATTTTATCAAACAAATTATATTTCGTTAAATTCCACAGATATCAACAATAAGCCTGTGTTGACCAATGTCAAGAGTTTGACTGTTATGGAGAATTCAGGGCCATCTACGTCCATTTATACTTTTTCGGCGACTGATCCTGACCCATTGGATACCTTGACGTTCGCTGCCAGCTTTTCTCATGGAGAAGGCAGTAGCTTGTTCGAACTGGATAAAACAAGTACAAAATGTTCTCTTTAGAAAAAAAGCTCTATTTAAGATATGGGAATTTAATAAATGAACTCACCGTTTGAACGTCAGAGGGTGAACACAAATTAATAAGTTAAATTATTTCTTCTTTCCCAAGCTGGAGAGCTTAGAACCACTTCTTGGAATACAATAGACCGAGAAAGCTTGGAAGATAGCAACAAGGTATACCGAGTGAAGCTGTCTGTCTCTGATGGGAAGTACTTTGATACAGAGTACTTCTATATAACCGTTACCAATGAGAACGAGAGTCCGGTATTTCTACAGAAGTATTATTCCGTTTCAACTACAGAGGGACCGGTATGCTTAAGAAAATATATTTTTGATGAATTTTCTTTAAAAAAAAGTGGTTTTTTTTTATCATATTCAGAAATAAAGTTTCTCACCATATCTGGATGTGAAGTTGACATGTTTTTTTTCTAAAAACTCCTTTAAATCATACATGCATATATATATAAAGTTTTTATACTGTATGTGCATTCTTGGTCTGTGGAAATAGCAGAAAAACACATTTCAAAATGATATTTGAAGAGCTGCTGGTGGTGGTTAAAAAAACATAAATTTATTATTTTGGGCATAGTAACACATAGTGCTGGATTTATGAGTCTAGCTTAAATTAATTTCCTTTCAAATTCCATTTCGAATTAAAGGCAGGACAGAGTTTAAATACCCCTCAGTGGAAATACAACGACCCGGATGGAGACACGGTGGCGTTCGAGTTTGATTGCGGAGCTGACACTGGTCGGTTTACTTTTGGATCCTCTACAGGTTCGATTCAATTTAAGAATGCTTATGACCTAGATACAAGTGGGGTCCCTACAAACGTCATGTGTACCGTGTATGTTTCTGATGGAAGCCTGAGAGATTCGGCAGAATTGTCCATAACTGTAGAGCATGAGAACGAGGCTGCTCCAAGATTTTCTCAGTCGTCCATTTCCGTGTATGTTGAATGTATTGCAGAGGTGAGCACGAATAGACTTTAGTGCCATAGGCCACTCTACAAAATATTTCTAATAATTTTCTTGGATAGATATATATCTACTGTCTCAAATATAATCAAAAACTACAAAATAAGTACATATCTCTTTTTTGCTCGTTATCCAGATGTTGACAACTGTTGCAAAAGTAACCGCGTTTGAAAGTGACGGTGCCGATACTGATCACGGCACCATCTACTACTTACTGGACCAGAGCAACCTTGCCAAGGAATTCTTCGGCATTAAAGAAAATGGCGTTATCTACACGAAAGACCTTTTAACGTCCATGTGCTCCGGAAGTACTCTGTCTTTCAAAGTCATTGCTTCTGACAGAGCTGGTAGAAACTCCACCATTCAGGTTACCGTGAATGTTGTCCTGACGACGACCACCAGCACAACAACGACAACAGAGAAAATGATTTCTACCTTCACTAACCCGGAGAACATGTATGTTGCCCTTCCTTTGGCTACTGCGTCAGTCGCTTTTGTCTTACTCATGTTCGGCATGATATTTTACTATTTACCGGGCGGTATCAAGTCTGCAGTCTCCTCAGTTGTGGGGAAGATTGGGTAAGTAAACCTCTTTATAGATAGGTAAATTAATTAAAATTTCGATTTCTATGTTAATTATTTGAAGTATTTGGTATCTACTGTTTCTTGCTTATGTTTTAAAAATATTTCCGGATGACAATTGCACCTGTGTAATCTATGTTCAATGGATGCCACACATTGTCATGCATTATGTTTTAGCAATGGACTTAGTAGTGTTGCTTCAAAATGCAAGAAGGCGCCAACTTCTACACCGGACGAACCCGAATTCAAGAGACACAAACCTGCTCCCAAACCTAAGGCAACTAGACCTCCTGAACAATCTCGTAAGTGTAATATTCTTTTCCAGGAAAGCTGTTATGCTAATTCAGGCCCAACGAACAAAAAAAGGGGGGGGGGACTTATTACCCAGGCCGAGTCTTTAAAATGCAGGCTTTTTAACAGGAGATCCTTGTTAGTGATTTTATCATGAAAAAATCAGCAGTATGAGATATGGATCTTATTCACTTTGAGTTATTTCTCCAAAACGTAGAATTTTTTCAGGGAAAAATTTCTTTTGCTAAAAAATCTACTGTAAATGAAATTTGGTAGAAATTTCAGTATGCCTCATATTCCGTAGATATATTTAACATACGTATGGGGGAAATTGAAAAGTTAGTTATAAGCAAGAGATAGTGAAAAGGGAGAAAAATAAAATCATGTACTATAATTACAGCATAAGGTTCCTCTTGATATGACATGCTTTCAGTTTTAGAACTTTTATTATTATTCCTCTATCATTTTCTTATGCAGTCCCCGCCCCAACAAACACCAGTCCACCGCCGACTTATGAAGATGTTGTGCCTCAACTATTCCGCGAGACGAATCGTAAGTAAAGAAATGTGGTTTACAATGAACTTAAACAAATACGATGGTAAGGTTTTGTCGATTAATCATGCAATGTATTTATTCCAAAGAAATTGAATCATTGATATAACCTTAAACACGTTATCATGATTTAATGGTTTTAATAATGTCATCAATAATGACTTACTGTATTGTTTTTTGCAGAATTTTGAGTTTTTAACATCTATTGGGATAGAAGATGATATGTATCAAATCTATTCGACGGTTTTTACAAACGTATACAAACATTTAGGTATTTTATTTGGTACTTTATGGATTTAAAAATACAAAAATATTTGTTTTGAAACATGTCATACAATATGCATAATATATGGCTCTTGTGCATGCATAAACATTTTGCAATGAATGAAATGCAGTGTGACAACAGTTTTATATCTCGATTACACGCATAAAAACCCACTGTTTTGTCCCCTTATCACGAATTTATGTCTAGTTTTTTTCAACAGAAATATAAATCATCATCACGATACTTATAATACAGATATCCTTGTTCATGCGTTTTATTTTATTTATTTACTTATTTTATTATGCATGATTTTCTTTTTTCTCTTTGATAATCAAGAAATTAGATTTAGAGGTTAGGAAAATCATTGTGTTAAATTTTCGATTGCTTTAGCTCTAAACACTGATAAAGACTATTTTTAGGTCTTAGAGAAAAATATATCATATGAAGGTGTGCATATTGAAACATTTTCATTCATTTATAACATAGGGTACCTGCGTTACTTTCGCAGGAAAAATGTTCAAAGACAATAGACTATTTGTTAGCAGAAATCATTGTCGTTTACTTACATTGGGAAAATTCATAAAAATAATGAATTCAATTACTTATTTTGGTGTTATATAATGCTAAAAATATTTGAATCTTTCACAAATACTGTAATTAATTGTAAATAACAATTTTAATAATCTTACTTCTAAGGGTAGATCACTCTAACTGCATAAAACTACCTTACAAGTAGAGCTCTTTAGTGTGCAGTGTTTAGAGCTTCCTTAAATAATTAAATTCCTCAGATACATGTACAACCTGACTGTAAGCTTGTGGCAATTCAACATTCAATGGGTCAAATATAACGACATACTGAGTAGTATATGTAAAGACCCCCAATTAACGTATGCTTATCTGAACAGAAAAAAAGAGAAAAAAGAAAGTTTTCATAAATGTTAACAATTGATTTATTGTATAGAGTAAATAAAATATTACAAACGTTGGTTCATAGAAATAATATATCTGCATCTTTCTTGGTTAATTTTTATTAATAGAAAGTCAAAACACCAATAATTTTCTCTTCAAACCACACATCAAGAATATTTTTTTTAAATAAAAACATGTAGTTTTCTGTTTTAAAATTAATTTTGTTATGTAAATACTTAGCAAATTGATATTACGTAACACATTACGCGTTTTAAAGCTGTTATTTTCGCTTGAGTAGTTCTAAATAAACCATCTGATATCATCCTAGCATTTTTTTCTTTTGAGAAGAATGATTAAATCAATCTTTTTAAATTTACAAGTTAATCCTTGATCAGAGAATACACCTCAGAGGTTTAAATTCTATCAGCATTGTTTTCTGTCCGGTCTCGTGTGTACAGCACTTTGTTGTACACGTATACATGCATTTATACATGCCATAATGTTATGTAAGAATGTTAATGTCTACAAGAGATATTATTACCGGTATAAGAAATGACGTTTATATCCTTAGAACCAATGCCATAAAAGTTCAGAAGATTGTTGAGGTGCGTTTTTGATTGTCTATGCACAAGCTACGCGCTTGAAAACCATGTGACGAATTCTGAAAATAAAAAAATAGCATTTTTATCAAGGAATATAGCGAAGAATTGAATAATCTTCCTGAATGGATTTATATTGTATTGCGATATTTTTTTTCTAATGAACTGAACATATTCTATGCCAACATGTAAAATAGAAAATTCAAACTAAGCTTAAAATCCTATTTTATTAATAAAACTGATACATAATTATATAAGGAACAGAAGGGATCCCCTCTTCCCTCCCCTTTTATCCCATTTGTTTTTCTTTCCATGGCCTCCTACACCCATCTTGTTTCATGTCTTTCATTTTCTCTTCCCAATTGTTTGGTAAAACATGGCAAACGTTTCTTAGAGATTTTCCCTTCATACAACAATGTCTGGCCATGTTACTTTTTTACTTAAAATGTTCTCAATGTCAAAGTTTTGTGGGTACATACATGTACATGTGCTCTACTGACATTGTGAAGATTCCATAGTTGATCATCAACATGAGACAACAAGGCAATCTCAATTTTCAGAATTCTTAATGATATTTCATGTTATAAGCTTTTTTGACCTTTTTATTCTGACTTTGGAAATCAGGGCATTTGGTCTTAGAACAACCTTAGAACAATTTTCACTGCAATTAATAAACGTCAATTAGACTATTAGTTAGGTAGTATAGTATAATATACTGTAGTTAAGTACGCATTTGGAATACTATAAACCAATCATGTACACCCTTAATTCCCCTTCTTTCCATCGAATATAAACATACAATAGAACGCGTGATTTTTAAGGACACATCTGTAGTTATCCCCTACCTTTGTAGTCTATTTTACCATCCTTATTCAGATCTGCTTCATCAAAGAACATTTTTACATCCTCGTCCGACATTCTGTCGCCTGTACCACATAAAGCTTTTTTCAGTTCTTCAAATGATACAAATCCATTTCCATCTTTATCGAATTTCTTAAAAGCGTCCATGAAAAGTTTTTGCTCATAATCCAATTTCTTCAGTTCCTTTTTCATAAACTTTTCGTATTCTTCGAATTCAACATAGCCATTGCCTGCAATTAATATAACGTCGCCAGAATTCATAAGAATTAAACATAAGGGTTATCCAGTTATGAAGTATATTTAGCGTTTATTTTTTTGATAGGTATAAATGAATTACCACTGGTGTCCAATTCTGCTATCATTTCACTAGCCTCTTTCCTGGTAGGATTTAAACCGTGAATCTGGGTTCCTCTCACGACCTCAGCAGACGATATCCTTCCATCTTTATTGACATCTAAGTACTCGAAAGATCGTTTGATTTCTGTGAAATGCACGTTGCAAAAGTTATTAATCATGTCTTTTAAAGAAAGTCATTTGTGCAATTAAAAGAAATGAGAGAGAGAGAGAGAGAGAGAGAGAGAGAGAGAGAGAGAGAGAGAGAGAGAGAGAGAGAGAGAGAGTTTGCTTACCTAACGCCTCTTTTTCTTCTTCTGAGAGATTTGCCATGACTCAAGATTTGAAATAATGAACTCTAATCTAAACCAAGTCCAACTTCTCTTGTTGCTAAAACAGAAAAAATGTTTCAGTTTTGCATGTATAGTACACAGTGTGTTAATTATGTACGGCGTCTGAATATTTAAATCACCACAATGGAAGTTCACCAACTTTGAAAAATCAGGACTTCACAAATAAGTATTAGTTACCGGACTCTTAACATGTTTGCTAATTCTCTCTCTAATTATAGTATTTATAAGGTGTTCATTGATTTTCCAACCATTTAACTCTTCATTGTAACCTCCCTCCGATATATTCAAATACATAGTTCCAAGGACTGGTTGTTTGTAGTCTGAAAACGACTTCAAAACTACATGTATATAAAGAACCCCAAATACAACTTTTTGAAGACTTTTTATGTAAGCGATTGAATATATAGGAAATAAATTGATTAAATATATCTTTGAATCCTAGTTAAGTCACGTTAATCACGAGTAAACAAACGAAGGTTAAAGCTAGAAAACAGATTTAACTTATACGTACAAAGTATTAGTGTCACCAAAAATAAATCCTATAATTAGTTTAAATCAAATTGGTCTTAGCAGCGGGTTCAAATTTCGTAGAATGAATGGTATAATTAGGTCCTTTTCTACTTTAATGTATAAATAATTTAATGAACAAATTGGGTTAACATTTGAATGTTTGCTTGGAAAATAGTTTGGAAATATAACACATTAATATTATTTTTAAGTTAATAGGAATTACACTAGATGCACAAATTAACATTTTTGATGAAAAAAAGACATATATTATATTTTTTCTATTTAGGGATAAAAAAAAACACAAACCATATCTGATGCAGGGATTGATGCATATTTTTGACTGATTTCGATTAGACATAAAGTGACCAAAACCCTAAAATATAAATTATAAATTTTCGTTGGTGCTTAATTATATTAGATCTGCGACTTTGCGTCTTTTTTTTATGTATTAAATATATATATAAAATTTTGTGCATAAACATTGTGACAAAGTCTTACGAAATCATGCAACTTTAATTTACTGGCAAACTTTATTCAGATTTTAAGTTATGATTTCGTTACTGTTCTTAAAATATTAGTAAACTATTTCCCTCTCAAATCTTAGAGTATTTACAGTTTACTAGTATCCTTTTAAGATCCGTCCGATATACTTATTTATGGACTAAAATACGGTGGACAATGCGAAATTATGGCTATTTATGATCAACGAAAACATTAAATAACGAAGGTAACAAACATGATTGTGCACTAAAATTCATGTACAATATTTCAGAACTTCATTCTATTTTTCTGAAATGTAAAAATAAATTACCTACCTCCTCTGCTTAAATATAACCAATTATTTTAAGAACTTGTGTCTGGACGTCTATACATGAAACATGTCTCATTTCTTCAAAAGCGGCTTAGTTTTTATAGATACATTAATTCTTGCTAATCTAGGTGACTCCTAAACACCAATAAACACAATTGCACTCGACCTTAAATCGTTTAATTTGAATAATGCTCTAAGCATTTTGATGGTATCCAACCCCTCGGCAAGCGACCTTTGGTCGAAAATCTTGCACCTCCTGTATTAGTGACTGATTATAAAGATCTTAGATGTATCGCTATTAATCATAATCTCTAAATAATAGGTTTAAAATACGCCTATTTAAGAGTTCTTTGTTACAATGCGAAGTGCATTCGGGAGATAAGGCAAAAATCATTTGCATGATTTTTTTTGCATTTCCTCTTTTCAAATTTGAATTGTTTTCTTTGCTTGTTTTTGTTTTATGCGTCGTGATGTTTTATTTTATTTTAATAATCAATTTTCTACAGTATGAATATTGGTATAATTATAGATGGGACAAAATCTTTAAACATTTTTTATATCCTGAACACAATGAAATTAAATTTACCGTTCAATATTCCGAGTCTTGATGTGTGTCATATAAAAAAAATATAGATTCAAAATCGCTTATGTTTGTATTTTTGTGAATCAAGCACATATATAAACATAATACGTAGATGGATACAAAGGTTTATCTTATCTACGAGTATCTATGAGTATTTGTTCAGATTTCAAAATTCGTTAATTTAACAGCTACTTTTAAAAATCAATTTAAAAGATAATCTAAAAACATTTACATTCTATGTACATTACTGATTATAAAATCCTTATGATGGTAACAGAAATCTTAATATTTAAGGTTATTTTTATACCCCCCGCTTGAAAAGTGGGAGGGTATATAGTAATCGGTATTTCCGTCCGTCTGTGTTTACGAGAGTGCATTTATTGGGTATTTTTTATGCCAAGATTGTACTTATTGGGTACTTTTTGCTTATTGGGTATACCCAATAAGAAGAGTCGCTGAATATGCTTAAAACACCCTAATTGGGTATTTGCAGGTTAGTACCCAACAAAACTTGGAAACGACGATTTGTCCAAAAAAGTGTCTAAAAAAGTTGCTTTCACGGACGCACCGTGTTTTGTTGTTTCAGTTTTACATTCGGAACTCTAAATTCTCGAGAGTTCCGAAAATCAACTTCCGTTGATCCTGATCATAACAACGTTTGTTTTCATGGAAAAAAAAATATGGCGAGTAAGAAACACTTAATGTCAACAAGATTTTCTGATTGACAAGAGAAAAGGTAAGTTTATTCGATTAATATTTATCCATTGCTGAGTTCTTGTTTAAGGAAAATAGATTTTAATGTAATTTTGAAAACAATTGTGCACAAAATTAAAATAGATATATCGGAACAATTAATCCTAAGTTGCACTTGTTTGTATTTTGAATTTTCTCTGTCTTTTTAACTCTCTTGAGGGCAAGAAGTATTTAGTAAATGATCGTGTATTGTTAGATAATTTTTGATAAATCGAAAGTGTTTTTTATTTAATTTGATATCATAACCAACCATGTATGTTCTGACAATGTATATTGGAAAGGGAAATGAAAATTTTAACAATCGTGTGTTCTAAATCAGCTGTAAATTATCGGTTCATGTAGACAGTATTACAATCGCAAAGTGAGCTGAGATGATGATAAATGGGATAATGGACAACAACTAAATAATTGTATGTAAGTTTATCTCATCTGATATGTAACTTACGAGATTCATTGCATTACTGAAAAACTTTCAGTCAAAGCAGTGCTTCTTTCTGTCTTTGATTTTGAATGAGTGTCTGCTTTATTTTGATTCTTTTTTTAAATTATTGTTTGTGCCATTTGGTTTAATAAATTTAAAACAATACTGAAATTGATGTAGGGCTACTATAACTATTTCATATGATGTGTGTGTAATTAGCATCGTGCTACACCCGGGGCTTCCATTTTTGAGGATGGGGCTAGTGGTTTTCTGCACTGAGGAATGCCCTTGGGCTATTAGGAATTTTAAAATACACATGTAATACATGAAAAGAAATACCATTACTTTCTCAAGAGTAACCTTATTACTTTTTTGATTAAAGAAATTGCATGTAAATGCCTTTTTTATTATATTCCTTTTGTTTCAATAATTGTCATGTCAGCATAAGTGTGCTAATTGTGTTGGTATTTAAAATTTTTTTTTACTAATTTAGTAAACAGATATATGAATTTATCTTTAAACTACTTGCTTAAATAAAGATTTCAATATGAAAGGATATTAAAAGTAATTAAACATGTTCAAGTATGTAAAAAGTAATGAATGTTTAATGTAATTTAAAACACATTAACCATTTGTTTTGAAAGTGCCCTCATGAGATCCTGTCGCGACACAAAGTGCCCTTTTGATTCCTTGATTACCATGCCCTTTTAGGGTCTAGATTTAACACTAAAGCACCACCGGTATTTTCAGTCTTTTTTGCTATTAAATTCCCTATTCCCTAATATGGAAAAATTCCAGACAGCATGCTCATATTATCCATAAATATCCACAACTGCATCCATTTTGCAGTACTACAAGACTGATTTACTTAAAAACGATCTTTTATTTCCTAATTTGCTTGTACATATATGCCTCAGAGATATCCCATTATTAAATTATATACATTCACTCAATCAGCTCAATGATAAGTGTCATGCAATTATGTAGCGTTTCTTTAAAAGCCATATATGGCGTATCTGATCAAAAAATATATTTTTGAAAAATACAAAATTAAGTAAAGAAATACATGTATAGTTAAACATTTAAATTAAAGCTTTTCATAGAAATTCGGAGCACGGAGAACACCTCGTTTTATCTAATAATACGATTTTATCTTCTCTGTAATGTGTTATTTAAATCTTTTGTATTTTCTTCCAAGTCAAAGAAAATTCCGAGAATCCAAATTAAATTTTGATATCTTTATAACGCAATTGACTTAGATTTTGTAATTTACGGAAAATTTCTGTCTTTATCATGTTTATATAAAGTAATGATACAAATAATAAGTTCTTATAATTTTAGTCTAATAATTTTCATGGTACATACGCCATATATGGCTTTAAATGATTCAAGATGAAAACAAAATGATTTTTGCTGCGTTTTAATTAGACGAACTAGTGAATGACCAGAAAAGAAATATTTTAAATCTTTTTTTCATTTTTTAAATCATTAATTTATATATGATTAAATTTTACTAGCAAAAATTAAATTAAACTTTAATTTTAAAAAGAATCATCTGTAATTAATACCCTGACTTTTTTACGATGAACTTTATTTCAATGTTACTTTTTAATTTTTGCCTCTATATTTGGGCTTGTCACTTTTTACTCGGGAATAGTAACTTTATTACCACAAAGCTGTGGATGAGTACTTGATTTCCTTTATTGCACAGCGATGACTATGATTTAATAGCACAAAAAAGCTAATGGGTTTACGTATGTGAATTTATATGATTAATGCTTACTTGTGATTTTAGGATAACTGGAGATAATGATTTCTTTTTTCCATTGATATTACATAAATATTTTCCTAAGTATTATGTTACAATAAATTGGTTTAGATTTTTTTTAAATAAAAGTAATCAATAATTACAATGGAAATTAAAACCATAATCATGTTCATTGAGGATTTTCAATATGTAATAGGTCAAACAGGAACTTCAATTGTGAACATTGCAGAGAACACACTCATCAGAAGATGACCCTCAGAAATAGGACAATTGTAAGTAATCAGTAAAATCAGGAAAATCAGTAATCAGGAATACTTCATGCCAAGCATAAGATTTTTAGAGACATTTTCGCTTCTTAAATTAAAAGAGATAGAGGGGAAAACTTGTACATACTACATAACTACTAGGCAACCAACCTTTAACTGCAGGAAAGCCTTTGGTATGTGCAATACAGCTACATAAAACCTCTTTAGTATTCATGTTAAGTTTGAGAAAGTACCTTAGTATTTTTTCTAGTGTTTGCCAACATTTTCATGCACACTGTTTGCTTGTTTGTACTATCATTTTATTTTAAATTCTTCAGATGCCCTTTACCTTTGCCAGTTTAGAATCATTTGTTTTAAGGGCATCTGAGGGTTGATTCCAGAACTTAATTAATTGTAAAGTAAATACTGGGGTACTATACGGTCGTAGGTTATATTAATACATGTATAACATTTTGTTCTGATAGAGGTGGCATACAGGAAAAGAAATAATACTAGATATCACTTCAAAGGAATGAAACAGCTTCATCTTGTAGGTGTATCTTATTTAAGGATCACTACTTCATGTCTGATGTGCTGAAAGTTATTCATAATCTGTTTGACTGTAATTTTTCATATTTTCAACTTCTATCCAGCTTAGTCAATTTTAATTAAATTTTGTGCAAAGCATTACCCAATAAGGGGGGGGGGATGGAGTGTCAAGTGTGCCTCTGTCCCTGTCAATATAATTTCAAAGCAGTTAGTAAGGTTTAGGTCAATTTTAAATCCTCTTTAGCAGAACCATTGGGCTAAAAACAATACTAATGTGAAAGACTTTAATTAAGTGTAGAATGTTTTTGAAGATTATGTACCCCTAATGTACTGATTTGTTACATTAGAAGTCTAAAATTTGCAAGGAATAGGTGTAAAATCTTTTTAAAATCTCCTTCTTAACAATCAGAAACTAACATACTGTCTAATTAATGTGCAACATCGTTTTGTGTGTTGAATGATGATTCCTTTTGATAAAATTATGGCGGATGGGGGGTAGGATGAAGATGCAGTTAGACATAGAAGAAAAAAAAAGTTTGATAGAATTTAGCTTTTCTTCCATTTTATTTATCAATACATATGAATAATGAATAATGAATATGAATAAGAAAATTACTTCTACTTCTTGGTTGGGTTTGATCAACATAGAGGGTGATCTTGCTGTTGTCAAGAAAAACATGCTTTATACGGCAAAGAAATGCTTTATCAATTGCAGAATGAATAAAATGGATAGAAGAACTGAAGGAGATATGAAATGAAAATATTTCAAAGATTGCCT